GCCCATCGCTCATCACTGCTGGCCGCCTGTTGCAACTAGCCGCCCGCCGCCGCCAGTCCGCCTATCGCCGCTGGCTGCCCGTTGCCGCCAGTCCGACCGTCGCCGATGGCTTAGTGTAGGTGTGCCTCCTGTGTGTAGTCTAGGTTCCCCTGCTGCGTCAGGCGTATGACCTCCTGCCTAGTTTAGCTTAGGCTCTACACTAGACCCCCGCCAGCTGTCACTACTGTGGACGCTACTGCTTCGCTCTCTTTCACACTTTACTCTAGAGCGTCTGCTTGCTTCTTCCGTGACCACACTTCGCTTATGCCGCTTGCTGCTCCTGCTGCTGCAGCGCTTGCTGACCCCTCCAAAGGTCTGGTAGTCGCACGTAGCTCTACTACCCTTCCCTGTCAGGCGGTCCCCTCGGGCTCTCTTACAAGTTTGCACATCCCCTCGTTCTCCAGGAACCTAGTTGGTGTCGACTGTCTTCAGGACCTTGGCGTCACCACTACGTTCCCAGGACACGACCGGTACACCATCTGTACTGAGGCCGCCACTGGCGCCCCTCTTATCACGTTCCTCTGAGACCTCGTGTCTGGCCTGTTCAAGCTGGACTCTGCATCCCCCCCGATCGGAGTGTCCCCCCATGTCACTACGTCCTCTCAGATAGATGCAGCCTGCTCGTGTTGGTCGCCCACCCACACTTCACTGCTGTGGCACCACCGCCTAGGTCACCCCGCTCTCCCGCGTCTGCGTTACATGTCTCATCACGGGCTAGTCTGTGGTCTCCCTGTGTTGCTCCTTGCCCTCCCTCAATTGCCTGCGCAGCCATGCACACCCTGCGTCGAGGGTCGGCTACGCCTTGCTCCTCACTCCTCCTCGCTCCCCCCTACCACTGCTTCACTCCAGACCCTGCACTTGGACGTTTCGGGTCCCGCCCCTGTCCCTAGGCTGCGACGCGAGTCCTACTTTCTAGTGCTTGTCGACGACTTCACGTGATACACCACGGTGTTTCCCCTGAAGCAGAAGGCCGACGTGCCAGACGCCCTTATCTCGTGGGTCGTGGCTGCCTGAGTCCACCGCGGCCTTTCCGTGTTGCGTCTCCACTCCGACCGTGGCGGCGAGTTCGCCTCCGGCCAGCTTGGCCAGTTCTGTCGTGCGGAGGGCATTACCCAGTCGTACACCTTGCCGAACTCCCCGCAACAGAATGGGGTCCTTGAGTGATGCATCCGTTTGGTTATGGAGATGGCTCGTACCTCCATGATTCATGTTGGTGCACCCCATTTTCTGTGGCCGTTCGCTGTTCGCTACGCCGCTCACCAGCTTAACCTGTAGCCACACTCCCAGCGGCCGCAGGTTTCGCCGACCCTTCTCTGGACCGGGTTTCCTGGTGACACGTCTCCGTTCCACATCTTGGGCTGCCTTGCTCACGTTCGTGCCTCTGGCACGGGCAAGCTCACTGCCCGCACCGTCTATTGTGCCTTCCTTGGTTTCCCCCTCGATGCGTTCGACTGGCACTTTTACCACCCGCCGTCTCACCGTTTCTTTCACTCCCGCGACATCACTCTTGACGAGTCTGTCTCTTTCTACACCCGCTTTCTTACCGAGGTCTCCCGGTTACACCGCCCCTGTTTCTGGTCCCCACTCCCCTGGTAGCCCTTGCTCCTCTTCCTCCCCATCTTGCCCTGTCAGGTGTGTCTCACGTCACTCCCCTCCCGTTGGTTGTCCCGGTCGAGGAGTCGGCTAACTTTGGGGGGCCCCAGCTTTGGTGTCGTCGTCTGTCTCCACCTCGGTGTCTCCTCCTCCGCCGCCGCCGCCGCAGTAGCCGCCGTCGCCACTGCAGCCACAGCAGCAGTCGTCGCAGCCGCAGCCGTTGCCACTGGGGTCCACGAGATCTAGGGGTGCGGGCATTGAGGAGGGTGCTAGTCATGGAGGTACTGTCGTGGCATGTCTCAGCGGTCCTAGGGGTGGCACCGGTGCTAGAGAGGGTTCTCGTTCTAGGGGTGCTGTCGTGGAGCGTCCTGGAGGTAGCCGTGGTGTAGGTGGTGGTTCTGGTATCGGCGTGGAGCAGCAGCAGCAGCAGTCGCAGCCGGTGTCTGCCCTTCGCCTCCTTGGTCTTCCCTCCCCTGATCGCCCGCCTGCACCTCCCCTGCTTGTTTCTGGTCATGTTTTTCCTCCACCAGACTCATCTTCGGCTCGTTTTCCCTCGCGTCCTCTTCTTGTGTCTCCTGACCACACGCTTCCGTCACACTTTTTGTCTCGTCGTCCCTCTCATGCTCGTTCTGTCTCTCCTGTCTAGTGCTCTCACCCTATGTTGCTTCGTTCCTACGTGTCTCGTCCTCCCCTCCTCCCGTCACCTCCTCCGTCCTCGCTGGTTATCGCTCCGCCTCCCTTGTCTGACTTCCTCCGTGCGTCTAGTCCTCCTGTTCCTCGGGTCCTCGCCTCTCTTGTTACCGACCCGTCTGTTCCTGTCTCCAGTTTTGACGCCCTTGTCGCTGCCGTCACTGACTTTGGCTCTACCCGGCACCTTGACTACTCCACCGCTCTTGTCTCTAATCAGGCCCGTCCTCCGTCCGTCGAAGGTGCTTCTGCCCTTGGCAGTGATGTCTTAGAGGACCAGCAGTACGAGCTAGCTTTCCTGTCCGAGGTCGCGCCTCATGTCTGCTCCATGCTGCTAGTCCCTGAGGGTGAACCACATGCCTTTGACATCCCGACCCCTCGCACTTATGCTGAAGCGACCTCGGAACCCTGGGCCTCTCAGTGGATAGCTGCCATGGACGCGGAGATGGCAACTTGGAGATCCACCGGCACCTACGTCGACGCTGTTCCCCCACCTGGGGTGAATGTAGTCAATGGCCGGTGGCTCTTCAAGGTGAAGCGCCCTCCTGGAGAGCCGTCGGAACTACGAGCTGCACTCTCTCGACTTGTCGACATCGTTTCTTCGGGGCAGTATTCATTAGCAGGTCTACCTGCGTCGCCCGTCAGCCTTCACCGTCACCTTCACCCTGGGGACCTAGCGGATCCTCTGGCGCCCAGTTTACGGCCTACGGCGGGCACCTCAAGAGTGGCACGACACGCTTTGTGCTATGTTCGTTGACCTGCAGTTCTTTTCGTCCTCTGCAGACCCTTCGCTCTTTGTTTGTTCATGTTAGATGTCGTTCTACATCCTTGTCTACGTAGACGACCTGGTCTTCGCTACTGCAGACAGAGACGCACTGGCCTCCGTGAAGGCCGAGCTGCTGAGGAGTCACGCCTGCACTGAATCAGGAGAGTTGCGCCACTATCTTGGCCTGCAGATCTCCAAGGACAGAGCAGCGCGCACCATCACTCTCACACAGCCACACTTGGTGCGCTAGGTCATTGAGAGGTTCAGTCTTCACTTCTCCTCCGCATAGCCCACACCTCTGCCAGTAGATCACAGGCTCTCAGCTCCAGTCTTGGAGGAGTCAGTAGAACCTGGTGGCCCGTACGCAGAGCTGGTGGGTTGCTTCATGTATCTGATGAGTTGCACTCGACCAGATCTCACATACCCTCACAGTACCCTGGCTCGCTTTGTGGCGACAGGCATGCACCGACCGCAGCACTGGTCAGCAGCTAAGAGGGTTTTGCGTTATCTAGCAAGTACATCGGGCATGGGGCTAGTGCCAGGAGGACGCATGCCAGTGGTCCTTACAGGGCACACAGACGCTTCGTAGGCAGACGATGCTGAGAGGCTCAGGTCTTCCCAGGGCTACTGCTTTAGCCTTGGTGGAGGTGCCATCTCGTGGAGGTCCACTCGCTCGTTGTCTGTTGCCTAGTCTAGCTGTAAGGCTGAGATCTACGCCGGTGCCATGGCGGCACTGGAGCTTCATTGGCTGACTTTCTTGCTCGCAAACTTAGGTGAGCGGCCTAGTTCTGCCCCGGTTCTGTATGCTGACAACAGGGCCATTCCTATGTCAGGAGCCTCGACTGGAGGGCAAAGCAAAGCACATCTAGTTGCGGTACTTCCTCCTACGCGAGCTACAGCAGCGCTGCCAGGCCCGTGTTATACACTTGGCATCCGGTGCCAACATAGTTGATATCTTTACGAAGGCGCTTGCGCCTAAAGTTCATCAGCAGCACTGTGTACAGCTTGCTATGACCTTGATTGTGTACTATATCTTACATTCCCTTGACTGGCCTTGTGGCTCCTGCTCCAGTGGCTGGACTAGTAGTGCTGCCTCGGATTACTTTTGTTTAGTTTGTACTCTTGCTTAATGGTTTTCGGACCCTTGCCTTTGAGGTTGGACTAGTAGTACCACCTTGAGCTGCGTTTCTCGTGCTAGCCGTCGCCCTTTGTCTAGCCTAGGGGGTGTGTCAACATATATTTTGTATATGTTATAGGCTAGATAGATGCATGCTCATAGATAGTACAACACCTTATGTTATATTCCATTGTACCTCATCATTCTAGCTACTTCGTTACTCCGAGAGAGCGTGTGTCGAAGGATTGAGTAACGATGAAACAATACAATTGAGGCAACATCAAAACAGCAGGGAGCATGGATATAGCTAGCCTAAAGCACACGATCGTAGCTCAGCAGAGCTGTGACGTGTGGTTCGTAAATTGGAGCGAAGCGCCCAGATCTAGGCATGAAACAGCAAGGCGGGAAAAATGCATGCGGTTCGTCAGGAGGCCATCTTTGGGTACCGCAATTTGAATTTCTTGGCAGAGCTGCGCGGCAGCCCCGTTATAGGAGTGTACGCCTTACTAACTATAACCCGTAATAAGGAAATACCATTTCATTACATTGCATTAGTTACATTTAACACCAGGCTTCGCCAATCGACTGTTACACATGCACGACAAAAATGGCGTCGCCATCACGTGTAACGCACTTAGGATTGGCTGAATTTCCCCATCAGAGTTCGCCTGCTTTTTCCATCCACAGACATCGGCGCAGTGAGGCACTTGTCTCCCCAACCAGCCATACGTCAGCTGCGGAGATCCCAAGGAATTCGGAGCTCCCAAAAGAACTGCACTTAGGGGTGTTTCTCAAGGGAAGCCGAGCTTGTCATTGCTTACTGCCTCTTCCGCAGTAGAAGAGCATCTCACTCCTCTGACTGCTTGCCAGTGTAGCAGCAGCGTCGTCAGGAATAATCTCAGGGTTCATTAGCTTCTAAGTTTCCTGTTAATCAAGCTCTGCGGCTGTTTCTGCCGTTGCGTTCGGCTGCTGCGCTGCCAGTTATGGCCCTTGCCGCACGTTTATCATCCTCCAGCGTTGTTGCCGCTCCTCCCGCTACACTCCCGCCTGTTGCGGGATCAGCCGGATCGGCGCGTTCCGCGAATCTGCTCGCATCCTCACGCGCTGATTGGACGAACAGCCTCAGCCTCCGATCATTGCCGTCTGTCGCTGCTAACTTGTCGTGGAGTCGGAGTAGCGTCAGCACTTACGTCAGCACGACTAAGTGCATGGCAGAGGCATCGCAAACTACCGGTGCGTGCCGTTTCGTGTATATTGCGAGATGTTGTGTGAACGCTTTCACTATGCGAATTGCAGCTTTAGCAGAGGGGTACGTTCAGGTCATATCTGCATTGCGGAAATAGACCAAGGATTAGGGTTGCAAGCGATAAGGCATCGAAACACACGCAACGCGAATATTAGCTGCGGAAAGGTTGAGGGAAGGTGGTCATTTGGGGTGGATACAAGCGATACTACGTCATGACGCATACCATGCTACTACGCACCCTGGAGCATGTCATGATACTACGCATTCTGTCCGTAACATGATAGCATCATGATGTCATCGTGTTCAGTACTAAGTTCCTGTTGACCAGCGCCGTCCTCTTCACTGGCTTATTTCGCTTCGTGCTCTTCACTGGCTTCCTTGTGCTGCACGTGCTGTTCTCCATCGCCCTAGTCGTCTCCCCTCCCCCTTTCCCCCTTTTATTTCCTGCTTTCCGTCCCTGCTCGTATCGGCTGCTGCTGGGTGTTTTTTTAGTATTCATAATAACACTTTGCAACTTAACGGTTTCTCCCTTCCCCGCTTGTCTTCCTGCCTTCCCTTCTTGCTCGTATGATCAGCAGCTGCTGCGGTCTCGTCACGAGCCACTCAAAGTTCCCGCGTCTTTTCCTTTCTTCCTTCTTTCCGTCCCTGCTCTTATCAGCTGCTGCTGCCGTCTCGTCGCCAGCCACTCGCCTCCGCGTGTTCCGGCTTGCTGACCTGGCAGAGGATGACGTGGCGCAGCTGCTCACCAGGCCACGCATAGACTTCTCCTCCATCTTCAGTACAGTACGAGCCTTCCTCTCTGAAGCTTCTAGCTCCTGATTGGCCGTTTTCTTTGGCTGCAAAGTCTTCTTCTCGCTTGCTCGCTTCTTCGTCTTCTTTTCGCATCTTTCCCCCCAACGCCCAATCCCATCCGCCTCCCAGCACAGCTAACTTCCCCCTTCTCTGTTCCGAATTCTCCTGAAGCTTCGACTTCCTGATTGGCCGTTTTTTTTTGTCTGTAGATTCTTCCTCTCGCTTCCACGATCCACGCCTCTCTTCCCTCCCGTCGTCCCTCCCTCACGAGCTTCTCCCCACCCCCCCCCCACACCCCAAACCCGAACCCCAATCCCTCCCGCCCCCCAGCACTATTAACGCTCCCCCTCTCCCTCTCTTCCCCATGCTCCCTCCTCCCCAGGTGGGTCCGATAGTGGAGGATGTGAGGCAACGGGGCGATGAGGCTGTTAAAGAGTACGTACTGTAGCCTTACGTTTGCAATGACTCTATTGTGGCCCTAGTTTTGCTGACTGTTGTGTCAGATTCAACTTGTTCCTCTCAGCCAATAAGCTGCTGCGCCTCCCCTTCAGGCACCTCCCCACCCCCACCCCCACCCCCACCACCCCGCGACTTTGCAACTTCCAACAGCGTCCTACGTCTGCGTTATGTAGATTCGTTTTGAGAATTCTGGTCCCGTCTCCTTCTCTCCCCATTCCCCTACCTAACCCCCGACCTCATCTCGTCCCCCTTCCCTGCTTTTAGCTACACGGAGCGGTTTGACCGAGTCAAACTGGATGACGTGGTTGTGAGAGTGGCCTGGGGTAACTGGCAGGATACTCGTATCGTAACTCCACCTAGGCTTGAGCAACGGGTCGGGTCGGGTCGGGTAACCCGACCCGAACCCGACTTTTTGACGGGTCGGGTCGACATTTGCGGAAGGTTGACCCGACCCTCGGGTACCCGACCCGACCCGACCCGACCCGACCGATAAAACCCGACCCGTCGGGTCGGCTTATTACCCGTCCCTGCCCCTATGCCAACCCGACCCGACCCGACCCGAAATCGGGTTAGGTAGAACCCGACCTATTAAACACGGGTCGGGTTGACATTTCCTGAACTCCGACCCGACTTGACCCGACCCGACCCGACCCGAACCCGACATCGGGTAGGGCAAAGTCGGGTCGGGTCGGGTCGGGTCGGGTTCATGCTCAAGCCTAACTCCACCCACTGCCCCCCGCCTGCCCCCTTTTTCCCTCCCCCCGATCAGCTACACGGAGCGGTTTGACCGAGTCAAACTGGATGACGTGGTTGTGAGAGTGGCAGAACTGCCGGACCCTGAGGTAACTGCCAGGAACCCTTCCCCCCTTCTCTCACCACCTTAACACCATCCCCTCTCCTCCCTCCCTCCCCCCCCCCCCCCCATTCCCCCGGTCAGCCCCTCCCCTCTCCCCCATCTCCCTCCCTTCTTCCCCCGCCTTTCCCTCACTGTTTCTCCCCCCGCCCCCTCTCCTTACCCTTAGCACTTACACCACAATTGCTCATATTCATGTCCTTTGCTTCCTGTGTTTGAAAAAACCCTTGGCATCACCTTTTCTTAATCCCGACCCCCTCCCAATCCCCACCCATCCCCCCTTTCCTACCTCAATCCCATCCCTACCCTCATCCCCCCCACGCCCTCAGCTGCCTGCTGACGTGGCAGCAGCATTTGACGTGGCGTTCAACAACATCCACAAGTTCCACCTGGCGCAGATGCCCTCCAGCTCGTTCCAAGTGGAGACCATGCCGGTGAGAGGAGAGAAAGGAAACCCTAAATCTGAAACCCTTCACCCGAAAACCTAGAATTGAAGGGAGAGAGTCTGGCACTTTCGCCTGGTGCAGATGCCGTCCAGCTCGTTCCAAGTGGAAACCATGCCGGTGAGAGGAGAGAGAGGGAACCCGAAACCCTTTACCTCAAACCCTGTAACTGTTGGAAAGGAGAGAGTCTCAGGAAGGAAGTTCCACCTGGCGCAGATTTCGTCCAGCTCGTTCAAAGTGGAGACCATGCCAGTGAGAAGAGGAGAGGGTGTGGGGATGTAGTATGTGAAGTCAAAGAAAGAGAATAAAAAGTCAGAGAACTTCAAATCCTTTTTTTTCTGCCTATCTATTCGTTTCTTTACTTGGGGACTTTCCCACCCAAGAATTTTTTTAGTAGAGTCGCAAGGCCCATAGAGCAAGTAAGGCTCTACGAATAACCTTCCCCTGTCTTTCTCCCTATGCCCCCCACCCCTTGGCTTCGCCTTGCAAATGGCAGGGCGTGGTATGTGGGCGAGTGGCGAGGCCCATAGAGCGGGTGGGGCTGTGCGAATAACCTTTCCTTTGTCTTTCTCCCTATGCCCCCGATCCCTTGGCCTCACCTTTCAAATGGCAGGGCGTGGTATGTGGGCGAGTGGCGAGGCCCATAGAGCGGGTGGGGCTGTACGTGCCAGGGGGTACTGCTGTGCTGCCATCCACTGCTCTCATGCTCGCTGTGGTGAGTGAGAGAGTGAGTGAGGGAGGAGGCGAGGGAGGAAGTGAGGGAGGGAGGGAGTGCTGAGCGAGTGTCTGTGAGAGAGTGGGGCTATGGAAACGGGGAGGAGAGGGAGGTAGTGGGGTGGTATGTGCTTGTGGGGAGACTGCTGTACGACTACTCCCTGCCAAGAGCTTACATGGGATCTCACTTGGGTATGTGCCCGGGGGGGGACTGCTGTACCACTTTTTCTGTCTGTGTTCTCAGCGTGCATCACTTCCTCCCTCCCCTACCCTCCCCATCCCCTCCCCATCCCTCCCCATCCCTCCCCATCCCCTCCGCATCCCCTCCCCAACCCCTCCCCATCCCCTACCCCAGCCTGCAGGCATAGCTGGCTGCACCACTGTGGTTGATGCAGAGCAAGACTGCCCATGCTGTCTCCCCATCCCCTTTTCCCTCCCTCCGTTTCCCGTCCCCCTCCCCCCATTTCATGTCCCAATCCCCCAACACCCTAGCCTGCAGGCATAGCTGGCTGCACCACTGTGGTTGAAGCAGAGCAAGACTGCCCATGCCATGCCCCCATCCCCTTTTCCCTCCCTCCGTTTCCCGTCCCCCTCCCCCCATTTCATGTCCCAATCCCCCAACACCCTAGCCTGCAGGCATAGCTGGCTGCACCACTGTGGTTGTCGCCACTCCTCCCCGCCCCGACGGTTCAATCTGCCCGGTAACATTCTCCTGCCCGTGGTTTGATCGTTCTAGTCTTATGGTTCTGCCCATGGCCCCCTTCCTGGTTGCAAAACTCCTGGTTGTTTCGTGTGCGTGTTTTCCTTGATCTCCCCCAGATTTTCCCTCCCACCCTCGCCCCATTTTGTCCCATCTTCCTTCCCCTCGTTACAATCACAGGAGGTGCTCTACTGCTGCAAGAAGGCAGGAGTAACTCACATCCTCAAGGCTGGAGGGGCGCAGGTCAGTGCGGGAGGGGGAGAGGGCGAGGGGTGGCAGGAGTGTAGGAGAGAGAGTGGGAGGAAGAGGAAGGGGAAGGGAAAGGGAAGAGTCTATCTCTTTTGTTCCTTGGTCTCTGCATCTTTCCTGCTTTTCTCATATTTTCGGATATTTCTCATACCTTTTCCTCGTCATGTCCCATTGTGCAGGCTGTTGCTGCCATGGCATGGGGCACAGCCACTTGTCCCAAGGTATGTATGGCACATGTGACCCCACATGTATGCATCATGCATGCATCGCGCACGCACATGGTCCGTAACAAAGCATGGATCGTGTGAGTGGTGCTGCTATGGCATGGGGAATAGCCACATGTCTTAAAGTATGTATGTGTGTATGGCATTGTGCCATTGGCACATATGAACCCATGCCTTCTGCTGCTGCTGACGGCAGCCAAGATGGCGCTGCAGACCAGCCAAACGGCTTACAGCACTTCTATGATCTATCCCCCTTCCCCCCCCCCCCCCTCCTTCCTCCCGTGTCTCTCTCTCCCACCGTCATCACCAGGCGGATAAGTTTCTAGGCCCCGGCAGCCAAGACTTGTTAGTCTGACTCCTCTCCTATCTCCTCCCCTCTGCCCTCCCCCTCCCACCTTCATTACCAGGTGGACAAGATCATTGGCCCCGGCAACCAGTACGTGACGGCAGCCAAGATGGCGCTGCAGGTTTAAGCCATCTTATTCCCCCCTCCCCACCCCTTCTCACCCCACTCCCTCCACCCCACTCCCCACTAACCCACGCCAGGTGGACAAGATCTTTGGCCCGGGCAACCAGTACGTGACGGCAGCCAAGATGGCGCTGCAGATCTAAGCCATCTTATCCCCTCTTCCCCACCCCTCCCCACCCCTCCCCTCCCCTCCTCACCCCACTCCCCACTATACCCACGCCAGGTGGACAAGATCTTTGGCCCCGGCAACCAGTACGTGACGGCAGCCAAGATGGCGCTGCAGACCAGCGAGGCCATGGTTTCTATTGACATGCCCGCCGGGCCCTCTGAAGTGCTGGTTATCGCAGACGAGTCTGCTGCTCCTTCCCACGTCGCTGCCGACCTTCTGTCTCAGGTAGGTTAGGTGTTCAGTGCCCAAGGTCGTTTCCCAGATATGTTTGCCCCAGTCACTCAGGTATGCCTTGCACCGCCAGGTGCCCAGAGCTCTCGTTGCTGGCAGACCAGCGAGGCCATGGTGGCCATTGACATGCCAGCAGGGCCCTCTGAAGTGCTGGTTATCGCCGACGAGTCTGCTGCTCCTTCCCACGTCGCTGCCGACCTCCTGTCCCAGGTATGTCAGGTGTCCAGTGCCCAAGGTCGTTTCCCGGGTATGTTTGCCCCAGTCACTCAGGTATGCCTTGCGCCACCAGGTGCACCAGTGAGCCCAAGGATGGCGCTGCAGACTAGCGAGGCCATGGTGGCCATTGACATGGCAGCAGGACCCTCCAAGGTGCTCGTCATCAACAGCCTGTCAGCTGCCCCTGTGAGCCCGTAGATGGCGCTGCAGACCAGCGAGGCCATGGTTTCTATTGACATGCCCGCCGGGCCCTCTGAGGTGCTGGTTATCGCGGACGAGTCTGCTGCTCCTTCCCACGTCGCTGCCGACTTGCTCTCCCAGGTATGTTTGCCCCAGTCACTCAGGTATGCCTTGCGCCGCCAGGTGTGGCCCTGACAGCCAGGTGGTGCTGGTGGCAGTGGGGGAGGGTGTCAACCTAGCAGCAATCGAGGCGGAGGTGGAGTGGCAGTGTGGGGAGCTGCTTGTCCGTCCTCGTTTTGAGGCGCCTCACTAAGAGAAGCAGTGTGGGGAGCCACCTGTCCGCCCCATTCAGTCTCTACTCACTGTCATTTCCCAATCTCCCTCTTGTTTTCACCCCCTGGCAGGCGGAGCACGGCCCTGACAGCCAGGTTGTGCTGGTGGCAGTGGGGCCAGGTGTGAACCTAGCAGCAATAGAGGCGGAGGTGGAGAGGCAGTGTGGGGAGCTGCCTCGGGGGGACGTTGCTGCCAAGGCACTGAGCCACTCGTATGTGGTCGTGGTGGCTGATATCAACGAGGTGCGTTACAGAGATAATGGGGGGTTGTGTGGTATCATGCTATGACAGTGTGTGGAGGGGCAGTGTGGGGAGCTGCCCGGGGGGGGCATTGCTGCCAAGGCTCTGAGCCACTCCTACATGGTCGTGGTGGCTGACATCACCGAGGTGCATTGCACTTATGAGGTTGGCCTAGCAGCTGTAGGAGGCAGAGGTAGAGGGGGCCGCTGCATGCAAGTGCTGCAGTGTGGGGAGCTGCCCCGGGGGGACGTTGCTGCCAAGGCGCTGAGCCACTCATACGTGGTGGTGGTGGCTGACATCTATGAGGTGCGGTACTTACCAGGGATGGCATGCGAGAGGTGTTTCACAAGATTTGCACGCATGAGCTGCAGTGTGCCGAGTAGAGGTGGTGGTGGTGGCTGCACTGTTTGAAAAGTCTCAAAACAAATCTTCTACCAGTTGGCGGCTCACCTGCTTCACATGTGTCCCAACCCATCTCATCCCTTCTCATCCCATCTCATCCCATCTCATGTGTCCCAACCCATCTCATCCCATCTCATGTGTCCCATCCCATCTCTCCCCTGTCGTGTGATCCCTGCAGGCGTTCCTCTTCTCCAACCGCTGTGCCCCCGAGCACCTCATCATCAACGCCACACAGGCTGTGGACGGCCATCTTCTCTTGATAAGGCTGACTTTTACACACTGCACCGCATTTCACCCCACCCTGTACCACCCCATCGCCACCCCTACAACCCCCCCATCCCACCAGGCGTGCCTCTTCTCCAACCGCTATGCCCCCGAGCACCTCATCATCAACGCCACACAGGCTGTCGACTGCCTGCCTCTCATCCGCAATGCCGGTAAGCTGCCTTCTACTTCTCCTCTCCATTCCATGTGTAATGAGTCGACTTTTGAGTCGACTACACACGGCTACACACGACCTCTCCTCTCCATTCCACCCACTCAGATAGCATTCACTATGACAGCAATGCGCATGCCCTCATATCTCCCGTATCTCTGATCCCGCCACCGCCCGGCGCCCGTCACCGCCCGCCACCACCCGTCACCGCCCGGCACCGCCCGTCACCGTCACCGCCCGTCACCGCCCATCACCGCCTGTCACCGCCTGTCACCGCCCATCACCGCCCGCCACCGCCCGCCACCGCTCGCCACCACCCGCCACCGCCCACCGTGCCCTCATATCTCTTGTGCCCTCATCTCTTGTGCCCTCATCTCTTGTGCTCTCATATCTCTTGTGCTCTCATATCTCTTGTGCTCTCATATCTCTTGTGCTCTCATATCTCTTGTGCTCTCATATCTCTTGTGCTCTCATATCTCTTGTGCTCTCATATCTCTTGTGCTCTCATATCTCTTGTGCTCTCATATCTCTTGTGCTCTCATATCTCTTGTGCTCTCATATCTCTTGTGCTCTCATATCTCTTGTGCTCTCATATCTCTTGTGCTCTCATATCTCTTGTGCTCTCATATCTCTTGTGCTCTCATATCTCTTGTGCTCTCATATCTCTTGTGCTCTCATATCTCTTGTGCTCTCATATCTCTTGTGCTCTCATATCTCTTGTGCTCTCATATCTCTTGTGCTCTCATATCTCTTGTGCTCTCATATCTCTTGTGCTCTCATATCTCTTGTGCTCTCATATCTCTTGTGCTCTCATATCTCTTGTGCTCTCATATCTCTTGTGCTCTCATATCTCTTGTGCTCTCATATCTCTTGTGCTCTCATATCTCCTGTGCTCTCATATCTCTTGTGCTCTCATATCTCTTGTGTCCCCATATCCCCCATATCTCCCATGCCCCCATACTCTCAGGCTCCGTATTCCTTGGCCCATGGACCCCTGAGAGCGTGGGGGACTATGCCAGTGGCACCAACCACGTTCTCCCCACCTACGGCTATGCGCGTATGTACGGGGGGGTGTCCCTGGACGCCTTCTTTAAGCACATCACCGTACAGTCACTCTCCGCCTCGGGCCTGCAGCTCCTCGGCCCCTCTGTGGCCAAGATGGCCGAGGTCGAAGGGCTAGAGGCACACAGGCGTGCGGTTACCCTACGGTTAGCTGATATTGAAGCTGCTTCTAAGTGATATATGTCTAGCTGAGCTCATCATCCGCCTTGGGCCTGCAGCTCCTTGGCCCCTCTGTGGCCAAGATGGCTGAGGTCAAAGGGCTAGAGGCACACAGGCGCACGGTTACCCTAAGTATAGCTGATACCGAAGCTGCTTTGAAATGAGAAGTGTATGTCTATTTGCTACAAACCAAAGGCTGAATAGCCAGAGTCTGCAGAGCTGTAGGCCTAGGGTTATCAGCTGAAATTGATTGGGCTGCTTTCTAACTGCGGCTGCAATATGGCCTAGGCTGGGCCCCTCCTTGCCCAAGATGGTGAATATTGATAAATCCAACCCAAGTTCTACAATCCATATCATGTAGCATAATGCAGACAAGCGCTCTCTGCGATCATCCATCCTGCTGATGCCTATCCAACATAGTTATGGTACTAGCAAGAAGCTGCATTTGACATGACACTCTCAGATGCTCAACCCCCAAGAACTGTTGGCAACCTGGCTAAATATGCGAGTTGTTTTTGGCATTGCCCTGTTCAAAGGCCACAAACAGCTATGGGTGGTTCTGCAGAATGTACATCGGGCCATTAGGCTTGTTTACACCACTGATAACATACAGGGGTGCCTTATACACAAATGATAGCACATCGGCCTTTTGCCTACAGGAGCTAGAATCGTCTCACAAGCTACTACAGCACCATTGATAAGCTAAATGATCTCTGCAACAAAGCTGTACACTAAGTATTGGGACCCCTCTTGGCCGCTAGGGGTGTTACCCCCTAGCGTTACACCCAAGCACCAACGATGAGGTGGGGGTCCATCGCTTGGGACCCTGTTGGGAGGGGGGGAGAAACAATTCAGAGAAAAAAGGTTCATCCTCCTGCCCCCTGGCGGGCAGGTGAAAAAACTCCTCAATTGAAGCTGCCTGTTGCCACTTCTTGCTGCCCAATTCCTGCTGCCATTTTCTGTGTGTGCGTTTTTTTTTTTTTTTTTTTTTTTTGTTGCCCAGTTCTGCTCACTGCAGTTCGTCTGCAGTGAACAGAAGCAGGGCGAGTTTTGAGTCGTCTCAAAACTCACATTTCCCCACTGCACCTCGTGTGCAGTGAGGGGAGGTCTCCTGCGTTTTGAGACATCTGCAGGTCGTCTCAAAACTCAGATGTGCTCACTGCACCTCGTGTGCAATGAGGGGAGGCCTCCTGCGTTTTGAGACATCTGCAGGTCGTCTCAAAACTCAGATGTGCTCACTGCACCTCGTGTGCAGTGAGGGAATGCCTCCTGCGTTTTGAGACATCTGCAGGTCGTCTCAAAACTCAGATGTGCTCACTGCACCTCGTGTGCAATGAGCTCGAACCTATGGCATTTTGAGACGTCTGCAGGTCGCCTCAAAACTCAAAATTTCCTCACTGCAGCTCGTGCTACAAGTGAGGTACGCACAGGCACGAACGGAACAGGCACTGCAGTGCACTGCAGGCCACAACACAGACACAGTTAGTCACAGGCACAACACGGATTTGAGGCGCCTCAAAAACCGTGGAACAGGAGCACACCACACACCATGGCACCCCACACTCCCCATACAACCCCCACACCACACTCCCCATACCACCCCACACTCCCATGCCTCCTCCCTTCCCTCAGCTTCACCCCCCCTGCTGCTGCTGCTGCTGCTGCTTTGCAGAGTCTGAAAGAAGGGCAAGCAAAAAGATTAGACATGAAGTAAAAAAACGAATAAAAGCTTGAATGGACACTTACAAAGGGCGACTGAGGCTTGGCGTCCTGTGTTGGAGCGGTCTGAGACAAGGGCAAGCAAAAAGATTAGACATGAAGTAAGAAAACGAATAAAATCTGGAATGAACACTTACAGAGGGCGGCTGGAATGGGCTCGGTGTGCTGTCTTGGAGGGGTCTGAAACAAGGGCACGCAAAAATATTAGACATGAAGTACAAAAACGAATAAAAACTGGAATGGACACTTACAGAGGGCGGCTGGAGTGGGCTTGGTGTGCTGTCTTGGTTGGAGGGGTCTGAAACAAGGGCACGCAAAAAGATTAGACATGAAGCAAAAAACGAATAAAAACTGGAATTAACACTTACAGAGGGCGGCTGGAGTGGGCTTGGTGTGCTGTCTTGGAGGGGTCTGAAACAAGGGCACGCAAAAAGATTAGACATGAAGTAAGAAAACGAATAACAACTGGACTGGACACTTACAGAGGGCGGCTGGAGTGGGCTTGGTGTGCTGTCTTGGTTGGAGGGGTCTGAAACAAGGGCACGCAAAAAGGTTAGACATGAAGTAAAAAACGAATAAAAACTGGAATTAACACTTACAGAGGGCGGCTGGAGTGGGCTTGGTGTGCTGTCTTGGAGGGGTCTGAAACAAGGGCACGCAAAAATATTAGAGATGAAGTTGGAAAAAAATAAAGACTGGAATTAACACTTACAAAGGGCGGCTGAGGCTTGGCGTCCAGTGTTGGAGGGGTCTGAGACAAGGGCAAGCAAAACGATTAGACATGAAGTAAGAAAACGAATAAAAACTGGAATGAACACTTACCGAGGGCGGTGGGAGTGGGCTTGGTGTGCTGTCTTGGAGGGGTCTGAAACAAGGGCAAGCAAAAAGATTAGACATCAAGTAAAACAACGAATAAAGCCTGGAATTAACACTTACAGAGGGCGGATGGAGTGGGCTTCGTGGCTGTCTTGGAGGGGTCTGAAACAAGGGCAAGCAAAAAGATTAGACATGAAGTTAAAAAACGAATAAGAACTGGAATGAACACTTACCGAGGGCGGCTGGAGTGGGCTTGGTGTGCTGTCTTGGAGGGGTCTGAAACAAGGGCACGCAAAAAGATTAGAGATGAAGTAAAACAACGAATAAAAACTGGAATTAACACTTACAAAGGGCAGCTGGAGTGGGCTTGGTGGCTGTCTTGGAGGGGTCTGAAACAAGGGCAAGCAAAAAGATTAGACATGAAGTAAGAAAAAGAATAAAAACTGGAATGAACACTTACCGAGGGCGGCTGGAGTGGGCTTGGTGTGCTGTCTTAGAGGGGTCTGAAACAAGGGCACGCAAAAATATTAGTCATGAAGTTAACAAATTTAAAGACTGGAATTAACACTTACAAAGAGCGGCTGAGGCTTGGCGTCCAGTGTTGGAGGAGTCTGAGACAAGGGCAAGCAAGGACAAGGACAAGGACAAGGACAAGTACAAAAACGAATAAAAACTGGAATGAACACTTACCGAGGGCGGCTGGAGTGGGCTTGGTGTGCTGTCTTGGAGGGGTCTGAAACAAGGGCACGCAAAAAGATTAGACATGAAGTAAGAAAACGAATAAAAACTGGAATGGACACTTACAGAGGGCGGCTGGAGTGGGCTTGGTGTGCTGTCTTGGTTGGAGGGGTCTGAAACAAGGGCACGCAAAAAGTTTAGACATGAAGTAAGAAAACGAACAAAAACTGGAATGGACACTTACAGAGGGCGGCTGGAGTGGGCTTGGTGTGCTGTCTTGGAGGGGTCTGAAACAAGGGCAAGCAAAAATATTAGACATGATGTAAAAAAAACGAATAAAAACTGGAAATAGCACTTAAAGGAATGGGGCTGGATGCTCGGCATCTCGAGGGCGTCTCGGGAAAGCGCCTCACTCCAAGCCGCTGCAGACCCCACGCTGCAGTCCCCATGCTGCAGCCCTCACGCTCGCTGCACCAAGAGGGGAGAGAAGGACACAGTTAGCCCTGCCCGCCAGATGACAGGGGGAAAGCGCCTCACTCCAAGCCGCTGCAGACCCCACGCTGCAGCCCCCATGCTGCAGCCCTCAGGCTCGCTGCACCCAGAGGGGAAAGAGGGACACAGTTGGCCCTGCCCGCAAGGGGACAGGGGGAAAGCGCCTCAGGAAGGTTGTCCCAGTCTTGGCTCACCTGGCACAGGAAAGGTACAGGAGCTGCAGTGCGCACTGCAGTCCACAGCACGTAAGAGAACGGTAGAGAACGGTACAGTAGAGAACGGCACAGTAGAGAAGGGTAGAGGAACTGCTTTGAGGCGCCTCAAAAGCTTGGAACGATACCTTCACCAACCCATCCCACCATACCCACTACCCAACCCATTCACCCACCCCTTCAGCCGCCCCCCGGCTTCTCCTCCCTTCACCCTCCACTTCTCCTCCCTTCACCCTCCACTTCTCCTTCCTTCACCCTCTGCTTCTCCTCCCTTCACCCTCTGCTTCTCCTCCCTTCACCCTCCACTTCTCCTCCGCTTCTCACCCCTTCACCCTCCGCTCCTTCTGCTCCTTAAACTGTGCACAGTATGGCAGCTGCTGCCCACCCCCTCCCTTCTGTGCACAGTGTTGCCCCCCTCACTCCCTCTGCCCGTCCCCACTAGGGGTGCGGGCCAGGAGAGAGGGGCTGGTAGCAGGTTCTGTTGACCATCGGCCCATCTCCTCTGCTCCTTCCCATCTGCTCCTCCTGCTCCTTTCGCTGTGCACAGTATGGCAGCTGCCCCACTTCCCCCCCCCCACTTCCTCTGTGCACAGTGTGGCGCCCCCCCCTCACTCCCTCTGCCCGTCCCCCAATGGGTGCGCGCCAGGAGAGAGTGGGCTGTTAGCAGGTGTTGCTGCTGATCCTTCCCCTGTGCTTCACCCTCTGCTTCAGCCTCCACACTCCCTCTGTGCACAGGGTCGCAGCTGCCCTCCCCACCGCCCTCTGTGCACAAGGTTGCAGCTGCCTCCCCCCTCTCTTCCTCCCTCCTCTGTGCAAAGGGTCTCAGCTGCCCCCCCCTTTCCTCTGTGCACAGGGTCGCAGCTGCCCCCCCTCCCTCCTCTGTCCAGAGGGTTGCAGCTATCCCTCTCCCTCCTCTGTGCACAGGGTTGCAGCTATCCCCGTCCTTCTCTGTGCACAGGGTTGCAGCTATCTCCCTCCTTCTCTGTCCACAGGGTTGCAGCTATCCCCCTCCTCTCTGTGCGCAGGGTTGCAGCTGCCCCCCTCCCCTTCCCCCCTCCTCTGTGCGCAGGGTTGCAGCGTCCGGGGAGTGTCAGGGAGGCGTCGGGGGAGCTGGGAGGGTGGCAGCAGTTGTTGCTGGTAGCAGGTCCTCCCAGGAGAGCTGGAGGGAGCGTGCGGGAAGTCGCTGCTGGTAGCCCGTCCTCCTCCTCTGCAGCTGAACCCCCGTCCTTCTCCTCTGCAGCCCCACCCTCCACACACACAGGAGCGCCAGGCAGGGTGGGGGAGCCACCTTTCCCCACACACAGGGGCGCCAGGAGCGTTGGAGGGAGCGGGGAAGCCGCTGCTGGTAGCACGTCCATCTCCTCTGCAGCTGACCCCCTCCATGCACACAGGAGCGCCAGGCACGGTGGGGAGGCGACCTTCCCCACGCACAGGGGCGCCAGGAGGAGAGGGGGTGTCGGGGTGGGCAGGTCCTTCTGGGAAGGTGGGTGGCAGTTGTTGCTGCCATCAGTCCTGGTGTCGATGCCAGTTTCTCTGCTGCAGCCGCCGCTGATGCCGCTGCTACTACCGCCACTGCTGGTATAGTTGATGCTGCCGTTGCTGGTATATGTGCTGCTGCCGCTGCTGGTATAGGTGCTGGCATCGCTGGTAACTGTTCTGATGCCGCTGCTGGTTGTCTCAAGGTTTCCCTGCGCACGGAAGAGAGGCAGATTCGAAGAAGAGATTAGTTGCTGGGGTGCGCACTAAATAAACAAAGTCGAAAGTAAGCAGAGTGCAACGGAATTAAAAAGGCAGAAAAACGAGGATGAAAAGCGAAAAATCAAAGGCATGAAAACGAGACTAAAACGAAAGCAGGAAGAGGTGGGAGGAGGAGGGAGGAGGAAGGCGGAGGAAGGGAGGAGGAAGGAGGAGGAAGGCGGAGGGAGAAGGGGGGCCTGCTGGTCACGGCTGCACCAGGAGGAGAGTTGGCACCAGGAGCGTTGAAGGGAACGTGGGGGAAGACTCTGCTGGTAGCACGTCCTTCTCCTCTGCAGCTGACCTCCCCTCCTTCTCCTCTGCAGCCAGGCAGAGGAGAAGTGGAGCCACCTTTCCCCACACACACAGGAGCGCCAGGCAGGGTGGGGGAGCCATCTTCCCCCACACACACAGGAGCGCCAGGTATGGTGGGGGAGCCACCTTTCCACACACACATAGGAGCGCCAGGTATGGTGGGGGAGCCACCTTTCCCCACACACACAGGAGCGCCAGGCAGGGTGGGGGAGCCACCTTTCCCCACACACACTGAAGTGCCAGGCAGGGTGGGGGGGCCTCCTTTCCCCCACACAGGGACGCCAGGAGGGTTGGAGGGAGCGGGGTAGGCAGGTGCTGCTGGGAAGGTGGGTGGCAGTTGGTGCTGCCATCTGTCCCGGTGTAGATGCCGGTTTCTCTGCTGCAGCCGCTACTGCCGCCGCTGCTGTTGCTGCCACTGCTACTGCAGCTGTTGCCGCCTCCGCTGGTATAGGTCCTGCTGCCACTGCTGGTTGTATAGGTGCTGGTTTTGCTGCTGCCGCTGCTGGTTGTCTCAAGGTTTCCCTGCAGAGGAACAGAAGAGAGGCAGATTCAAAGAAGATATTAGTTGCTGGAAAGTTGCTGGAGTGCGCACTAAATAAACAAAATCGAAAGCAAAGCGGGGATTCCTTGGAGTGCACCGGAACTAAAAAATCAGAAGAACGAGGATGAAAGCGAAAACGCGAAGGCACGAAAACGAGATTAAAACGAAAGCAGGAAGAAGAGGGAGGAGGGAGGCGTAGGGAGGAGGAAGGAGGAGGAAGGAGGAGGAAGGAGGAAGGAGGAGGGGGGCCTGCTGGTCGCAGCTGCACCCACGAAGTCACAGACCGGGGGGAGGGGAGTACCCGCTGTTACAAACTTACTCTGGGGCTGAAACCCCGAAGTACCATAGGCTCAGAATACTTACATTGGGCTTAACCATGCTGGGGGGGGGAGTACCGCTGTACTGTACAAACTTACTCCGGGGCTGAAACCCGAAGTTGCAGAGGCTTGACTGTTTAGTGAGCACACCGACTTACCCTGGGGCATTACCCCGAAGTACCGAAGTCTTGACCGCAGTAGGTGGTCTGTGACCCGCGGGTTTCACTACAACCAGTGGCCGAATTTCCAGAGAGGAATCGAAAAGCAACGACAAGGCGAGGTGGGGATGGGAGGGGGGGAAGGGGAGAGACGGAGCAGGGCGTGATGGGAGAAGAGGGGTAAAGAGTGAGTGAGAGAGAGGGAACTTAGCCGGTTAGGAAGTGGCTGGCGTTGACTCGTTTCCATCCACGCCCTTGACCAGCGTCACGGCTGCGTCTCGCGCCGGTCGTCACCCACCGGTCGATTGTCTCCCACCGATTGTCTCCCAGCAGGAAGGCGGTGGAGAAGAGAAGGTGAGGCAGACGAGAGGCGGAGGCGGAGTAAAAGGCGGAGTAGAGGCGGAGAAGAGGCGGATTAGAGGCGGAGGAGAGGTGGATTAGAGGCGGACTAGAGGCGGAGGAGAGGCGTAGGAGAGGCGGAGGAGAGGCGGAGTAGAGGCAGAGGAGAGGCGGAGGAGAGGCGTCCGGGGGGTGTCAGGGGCGCGTCGGGTGAGCTGGGAGGGTGGCAGCAGTTGTTGCTGGTAGCAGGTCACCCGAGGAGAGTTGGCACCAGGAGCGTTGAAGGGAGCGTGGAGGAAGTCTCTGCTGGTAGCCCGTCCTTCTCCTCTGCAGCTGACCTCCCCTCCTTCTCCTTTGCAGCCAGGCAGAGGAGAAGGTGAGCCACCTTTCCCCACACACACAGGAGCACCAGGCAGGGTGGGGGAGCCTCCTTCCCCCAAACACACAGGAGCGCCAGGCAGGGTGGGGGAGCGACCTTCCCCCCCACACACAGGAGCGCCAGGTATGGTGGGGGAGCCACCTTTCCCCACACACACAGGAGCGCCAGGCAGGGTGGGGGAGCCACCGTTCCCCACACACATAGAAGCGCCAGGCAGGGTGGGGGAGCCTCCTTTCCCCCCACACAGGGACGCCAGGAGGGTTGGAGGGAGCGGGGTAGGAAGGGGCTGCTGGGAAGGGAAGGTGGGTGGCAGTTGGTGCTGCCATCTGTCCCGGTGTAGATGCCGGTTTCTCTGCTGCCGCCGCTACTGCCGCCGCTGCTGCTGCTGCCACTGCTACTGCAGCTGTTGCCGCCTCTGCTGGTATAGGTCCTGCTGCCGCTGCTGGTTGTATAGGTGCTGGTTTTGCTGCTGCCGCTGCTGGTTGTCTCAAGGTTTCCCTGCAGAGGAACAGAAGAGAGGCAGATTCAAAGAAGATATTAGTTACTGGAAGTTGCTGGAGTGCGCACTAAATAAACAAAATCGAAAGCAAAGCGGGGATTCCTTGGAGTGCACCGGAACTAAAAAATCAGAAGAATGAGGATGAAAGCGAAAACGCGAAGGCACGAAAACGAGATTAAAACGAAAGCAGGAAGAGGAGGGAGGAGGGAGGAGGAAGGAGGAGGAAGGAGGAGGAAGGAGGAGGAAGGAGGAGGAAGGAGGAGGGAGGAGGGGGTCCTGCTGGTCGCAGCTGCACCCACGAAGTCACAGACCGGGGGGAGGGGAGTACCCGCTGTACAAACTTACTCTGGGGCTGAAACCCCGAAGTACCATAGGCTCAGAATACTTACATTGGGCTTAACCATGCTGGGGGGGGGAGTACCGCTGTACTGTACAAACTTACTCTCGGGCTGAAACCCGAAGTCGCAGAGGCTTGACTGTTTAGTTAGCACACCGACTTACCCTGGGGCATTACCCCGAAGTACCGAAGGCTTCACCGCAGTAAGTGGTCTGTGACCCGCGGGTTTCGCTACAACCAGTGGCCGAATTTCCAGAGAGGAATCGAAAAGCAACGACAAGGCGAGGTGGGGATGGGAGGGGGGGAAGGGGAGAGACGGAGCAGGGCGCGATGGGAGAAGAGGGGTAAAGAGTGAGTGAGAGAGAGGGAACTTAGCCGGTTAGGAAGTGGCTGGCGTTGACTCGATTCCGCGTTTCAGCATCGATGGTCTCCAGCTGATTGTCTCCCACTGCATTTCCCATCGAATGGACGGAGTAGAGGCGGAGGAGAGGCGGAGGCGGAGGCGATCTCGTAGTCGCAGCAGCGATCTCATTGTCGCAGCAGCGATCTCGTTGTCGCAGCAGCGATCTCGTTGTCGCACCCGCAATCTTCCCAGTAACGATCGCGAAGATCCCTGCAGGCAGTAGCAGAAGACGCTGTTAGTAGCAGCAAATGAAAGCAAGGTGTGAAAGCAAAATAAAGCCATGAATCAGAAAATGAACTAAGGTCGGCGATGCTTACTATTGCGAAGTGGCGAGTCGAAAATCGCCGCTTGAAGAGGAGTAGAGTTGCTGAAACTGCTCCGCTCCATCAGATCCGCGCTGAAACGTAGCGCTCGGAGTCGATCCACGCTGAAACGTGGCGCTCACGTAACGACGACGTGGCTCTTTGGTAATGACGACGCGGCGGCGACAGTCCGACTGTCAAAGGTCGAGACGATCGCTTCAGTCCCCTGCAATCAGACAGTCAGAACTCCGTTAGTGAGGTGGCTAACTGCAGTTGAATGTAAAGCGACGAAAACGGAGAGGAGTAAGAACACGAACTTATCGAGTCGGTCGTCGGGTGAACGGGAGGTGAGGCGATGCTCGCGCTCGTCGTACAACGTCGTCGGAAAAACGGTTGATCTCTGCGCCGATCCTCGGCGCCTGACGGCAGATCTGCGCTTGACGATTAACGGTTCGCGTGATGATTAGCGGCCACTCGGTCGCCTGCACGGTCTTTGCGGGTGAGCCGACCCTGCACGAGGAACATTCGGAGCATAAGTGAGATAATCTGTCATCATACTAGGATAAAAAACGATTAATCAGTCGCGAAAACCTGAGGTTGGGATCGGAACGTACCATCGCAACGACTTTCCATCGGACGGAACTTCGCGTGACGATTAGCGGCAGATATTCGCGTGACGATTAACGGCTGGTCTTCGCGTGATGATTAACGGATCTTCGCGTGACGATTAACGGCCGGTCTTCGCGAGACGATTAACGGCTTTTCGGGGGGTCTTCGCGTGACGATCCTGCACCAGGAAAAGCGAGTTAAAAGGTGAGATAATCCGTCATCGTACTAAAAACGGCTGGAGTGAGAAACTATGACTGAAAAACGATCAGTCCCGTCACTTGAACGGGGTCCGAACTTACCATCGCAACGACTTCTTTCCATGGGATGGCTGTTTGATTCCGGAACAGAACGGCCGATCTTCACGTCGATTAACGGCCGAACTTCGCGTGACGATTAACGGCCGATCTTCGCCTGACGATTAACGGTCGACCCGTGACAATTAACGGCCGAACTTCGCCTGACGATTAACGGATCTTCGCTTGACGATTAACGGCCGATCTTCACGTCGAATAACGATCGAATAACGATCGATCTTCGCGTGACGATTAACAGCCGATCTTCGCGTTGCGATTACTACGGCCGATTTTCGCGGATGAGCCGATCCTGCACGACGAAAAGCGAGTTAAAAGGTGAAATTATCCGTCATAATACTAGAAACGGCTGGAGCGAGCAACTATGACTGGAAAACGATCAGTCCGTCACTCAAACGGGGTCCGATTTACCATCGCAACGACTTCTTTCCATGGGACGGCCGTTTGATGAAGATTCCGGAACAAAACGGCCGATCGTCACGTCGATTAACGGCCGAAATTCGCGTGACGATTAAAGCCGAACTTCGCCTGACGGTTCTTCGCTTAATGATCTTCGATTAATGATCTTCGCCTGACTGTTAACGGTCGATCTGTGACATTTAACGGCCGAACTTCGCCGGACGGTTCTTCGCTTGACGATTAACGGCCGAACTTCGCGTGACGGTTGACGGCCAATATTCGCATGACGATTAACGGACGACTTTCGTGGGTGAGCTGATCCTGAAAGAGGAACAGTTCAAAGCGAGTTAAAGGTGAGATAATTCGTCATCGTACCAAAAAAGACTGGAGCGAGACATTATGACTGGAAAACGATTAATCCGTCACTAGAACGAGATCGAAACTTACCATCGTAACGGCATCTTCCAAGGGACGGCGTGATGAAGATTCCGGATCAGAACGAAGTCGCAATCAAGTCGCCTGCGAACGTCGCACGCCAGATGACGAGGACTTCACAAGCTCGCCGGATCTTTCACGCGGGTCGTCACCAAGCGATCAAGAAGAAGACGTTGCGAGCTGTTCGGCTCACGTTGACGAATCTGACGCACGCTGATAAGCATCGACCATGCTGATGCATGCTGATAAGCATTGACGACGACGATGCATGCTGATGACAAATTGACGGCGCTGATGCATGCTGATTCTTAGTAAGGATCGACGGAGCTATCGCGAGCTGTCAGCGCTGACGCGAACTGAGAAACTCAGATTCAGGATCCTGAAATCGTCCACTTAAGATAGTATCACTGAACAGTTATCTTAAAAAGATTTCACTTCTGAAAAACTCTGACGAGTCCGACTCGTTATCATAGAGTCTACTATGCCTAAGCTACAAAGCACCAGTTGTTAAAATACTGAGAAGCCATGGACTCGGAGTAACCGAATTTACCGGGAAGGAAACGCCAGGAGATCACTGTCCGTGGAAGCGTCAGATAGAAACTCCTCGAGTAGGACTAGAAATCGATTTTGGGAAGGAAATGAAACCTAGGAATGACGAGCTGATCGAGGTTGGGCGGAGAGAGGGAAGCAAGGGAGCAGCGAGTTGCCATGCAAACGGGTTGCCCGAGGCAAAGAGATAGCGAGGCGAGGACGAAAGAGGAGGGGTTCCCATACCTGAGGCCGCGGCGGAAGCCGCTGCAAAGTTCGCCGACAAATTTGCGCTGACAGGCGGGGAGTGGCGGATAGTTTGCCGACTGGTTGCGGTGGAAGGCGGGGAGCGGCGAAAAGTTTTGGGCTAGCGACGAAGCCGGAAAGTTAGGCGAACGGGATGGATTGTTCGCCAACAAGAGCGGCTATTCTGCGAGAAATGTTACAGAAATCGGCAGCCTCGGAGCTGCTCACCCCTCCATCCAAATCCTTGCAGCGCAGCATTTTGCACAAAGCCGTCCCCCTGACGACGCGCTCTCCCGCGGCACGGGACCTGCGCGCGCTGTAGGGTGTTTGCGCCGCAGCCGTACCCCCTATAAGTTTCTCCTTCTGAGGGTTCAACTCAATACGGTAACAATCTGGCTTCATCCGACAGTTAGATGGTGGGGCTTTTAGGGTATCCAGGCCAAACAACGCTAGATGTTGTGCCGTATGGAAAATACAACCAACGAGTCAACCAATCAACCACGCGCTCTTGGTTGACGCTGACCAATCACAATTGTGCCTCGGAATGGTATGGTATGGATGAACTGGTAAGGTGTACAATAGGGTTCGAGCCGTGGTTGACAACACGCTGCCGTGCTGACGCACCCATGTCAGACCACAATTTCAAATATTGAGTTGACTGACTAGTCAACTTTCGGCGGGACGTGGGTGCTTTCAGCGGCGTCATGAAGTCGATGTCATTTTCTGCACCTGGTATATCATGGTGTAAGACGGAGTTGTATAAAATTCGTTTTGAAGTTGTACAATGTCCTTTTCTACACTTCCAACGACTTGAATAAATCACTTCAAAACCCCAAGCCATGGATTTTACAATGTGGTGATACAAGGGGGCCGGTTATCACACGCTCTTCACATGCACACGGAAGTGCTGCTAATTCTGGCAGCCCTCTGTATGCTTCAGCCGGTTATGGCTCTATCACCTTCCCTTTATTGGGCTATTATTGGAGGTCCAGCAGAATATCTGGCACCATGACCCCATCCACGCCGTGCACTACCATCTGAGCATCCGAGTATAGGTCTGGTAGCACCACCCTCACACTCCCCTGTGCCCCCAATGTTGGCTTACCCAACACAATCCCCTCCCCTTCCACTCTTTCCAACTCCATCTCCTCGAAACCTGTTGTAAACTGAACAGGCGGAAGGGGGGAAAGGAGGAGGTGAAATAAATGAAGATTGAAGGATGATTTAAACAGGAGCTTTCTTACTAAGGAGCATGGCACGGCGGGATTAAGTCCCCTGCTCAGAGTGAGAAAAGCCAGTATGCGGCGCGCAAGATAGCGACAAGCAGTCAACAATGCAGCAAGCAAAGCAGGTGTTTGCTTGCCAAGGAGCCTGCCAGAATTCCCACCAGATGAGCGGCAACGCTCCCCCAGCCGACCACGAGAACGCTGGCGCGAGGTAGCGACGAGCATGCGACAGACCAGGGGTGCACTGTGAACACTCACCAAGGAGCCTGCCGGCATTCCCGCTAGTTGGGCGGCTGAGATCTTCCGGCCGAGCATGTGGAAGGCGAGCACGCGGTGCATGACGCTCGCGCGATGCGTGAGGTACCGGCGGGTGACGGGGGGAAGTGAGGTGAACGCGCTATTGATGGGCGCGAGAAGCGTTAGCCGCATACGCGATAAGAGGAAGGATAGTGTAGTGTTGAACACTGGAAAAATGGAGGAATGGTAGGGTGGGAGAGGGGGGGGTGGGGGAGAGTGGGAGGTTGGGTGGGGGGAAAGTAGAGGCGATGAGTGAGATAGCGGCGGATGACGGGCGGTAGCGAGGTGACTGCGCGGTGGAACGAGCGACGGGACAGAAACCGATGCGGAGAAAACGACGGAAGATGAATGGAACCCTAGAAATGAGCCTCAGAATGTATGGAGGGATGGAAAACTATGAGACGTCGAAGGATGGAACCCTAAAAAAGAGTGACGATTGAAACCCTAAAAAGTGAGAGCACTGAAGCCCCAAAAAGCGTGGGCGATGAGCGTGGACGGATTGCTCTAAAGGTAGCTGTATTTTCGAAGCTTACGAGATCGTTCCATGTTGGAGACGAACAGAGTCAATCCCTTCTCTCGCAGTCTCGCCGCCATGGTCGCGTAAGCCGCTTCCGCGTCGTACGGTTCCGCGCCATCGGCGGAGTCTGCCGCCGTGAATCCCGATTCGTCCGCGTGGATCCCTGTAACGAGGATAGCCTGCGCCAGTATAATAGCCGCCACTAAAGCGCGTAATCTGTACACTCGCGATCTGTCCATTTCAAGTAGACGAATGCTTTCGGACAAAGGCGCCGAGCGGGACGAACCTGGAAGAACCTGGAGCGGAATGTATCGTAGTTCGAACTAAAAGTGGACTTTGGTTAAGTTAGTCTGTTTGAAGCCTCCGCTGCTACTCCGCATCGGCTAAGGCTAAGACTAAGGCGAGGACTGCACGAACTGACGTGAGGATGCGGGATCGAGAAAGGAATTGCAGGAAATGGCGGAGAGATGAGGTGAGCTGTGTGGCAAAAAGGGTTGGAACGAGGGAGGTTGGGTTGCGACGGGTGAAGTACAGTGCTGTGAAGTGCAAAATCCACGGCGAGAGATGGAATGTTCGGAAAATGCACGAGTCGCGAGTGAATCGCACCTGCGCCTCGAGGAGTGTGGGAGCCACCAAACTGTGTTGACTAGCACACGTGGCTGCTGGTGGATGGGTGGAGAAGCACATGCCAGTGATTGACACATGACGATGCTAAGTGTCTGCCTCACGTACAGACTGGCTGCGGGGTTTGGGGTTTGTTGCGGTTGGACAGGTCGTTGCTTAGCTTGAACTTAAAGCCGTTGACCCAAAATGTACAAGATTAATAAAGATGAACCAGGCAAGAAGTTGAGCTGGAGAAAGGACACGGGCGTGGAGTGGTGTGAGGGTGGCGAGAGTGGGCGAACACAGCACACTATGAAAACCAATCAGAACGAGCATACAAATTATGACAGAACCAAAACGTTTGCAAACAACGACTGGAGGAAATCGAGGGTGGGGAAAAGGAAAGAGGGAGCGCGCGCAAGGCGTAGGGGGGAGTGGGGGAAGAATACCTGGTCAGAGCGGCGCACGGCACAGCATGGAACACTGGAAACAGCGGGAAGAAAGGGCAGGTGACTCTGGGTTGCACATCCTGGCCGAGTTGCGCAACTCGTTTGGATCGACTTGCGCATATCAGGGCGTGGTACACCTCATATCACGAGTATGTCTTCAAACTGAAATTCGAACAGCTGATGCGGTTGTAGACGTTTAGACTGTTTTCAACGCGATAAAAAGGCTCGATAAGATTTTTTTTTTGCGAGTTCAAGTCGCCTACCTCACTTGAAACGATTTGTACCGCGCCCTGATAAAAACTGGCGTGTGCTGTGCATGGTGCTCTCGCTGCCTATGGCGTAGTGGCGCTGGGCCGGGTTTGCACTCCGAAAAGTCCCAAAATGTATGGAGGGAAGTTCAAGTTTCTTTCCGCTCAAATGCCTGGTGTGGCGGGGCAGGGTCATAATCAGCTAGAGGTGGCGCAAGTTTATAGACTGTTTCCCGTCGTTTTGTTGCGCAACTTTCGTTTTTGCTCTCGCTCTGGGGAATTGGGTTACCAATCGGGGGGTTTCAAGACTAATAAACTTGAAAGGCAACTTCTGCAATTTGGGTCAACGGCTTTAAAGCCCGCCCGGCAGGTTGCATATTGGTACTGTTGAAGTAGGTGGGGCGGCAGATTACGATTGGTTGACGAGGAAAAAGATAAACGAAATGTTTTTGCGAAACTTCATAATCGTCCACCTCGTGCTTGCGCGGGAGTTCCCAAGGACTATGCAACCTGGCAGAGGTGTCAGGTTTGAGCCCCGTCATTTGGCAGGGGACTCATACCTGCCTCTTTGTCATGTTGCAAGGGGGGTTTTCGTGCCTGCGTTTTTGCGCTAACAGCCCACATCGTTTTTTTTGTTAGGGCAAGTTGAAAGGAAACGAGTCTCAAATATTGGGCTTCGGTTTCGCCCTTGTGCAATCAAGCACACATTGATACACTTTCGCTAAACCGCCTGAAAGTCGAAATTTGAACGAGTAATTACCCTTTGAGCACACCTCGTGCTTGTTCACCTCGATGCTTGGCAGGGACGCAAACTTGCCTAGTTTGTCGAGGCACAGAGTTGAGGTGTTTGAGTCTCGTCAACAACTGCTGCGGGTGGGTCCGGTTACAGGTTCTCAAGATGCACCATCTTGAGAAAAGAGAGTTGCAACCTGCTGGTCGGGCTTTAACCGTTACACGCATAGGTATTAGCTAAGATCGCGTTCAGAAGTTCGACAACATCAAAGTTTACCCATCAGTCGGAAGTGGTATTCAGGGGTGCCAACCTGGGAAGCAACCGTTGGGTGGGATGTGGTCGAACGCAGTGTTGGAATACCCGCTTTGGTATAGCGCACAACAAGGTTTACTAGCTAACAGCATAAATGCTGTACGTGTTTGAGGTTAATACGAACCTCGCGGAAAACTGAAATGTGCCTGGCCAGGGCCACAGCTGCCGCCAAACCAACACAGCTCACAACACCACAAACATTTCGTCACTGGCACGTCAACAGATCACCTTCCTGCAATCACACATTGCCAAATGAGACCCTCGAATGGTCCCGACCATGCCACGTGACTCTCAGCCAATCCATTTTCATCACGCGGTGACGTGTCTAGCTTCCTGATCAGTGGTGGCTGATTCGAGTCGAGGTGTCCGTCAGTGCCTCTGGCTGGGGGAAGAACAAAAACTGTACACAATTGGATAACGATATCCGTTCACATTGTAGCCACTACTGAGCTTGCCGAATTTACACGGTTGAGTTTGGTTTAATAGAATAATCATAGGTTGTACTGGGCTAGAGATCGGTGTTCCGCCGCAAATCTGACGAAATTACCAGAACCAGCAGCACTGCCAACTTACTCTTTCTCCCCACCCCGCTGCCGCTATGTTTCACTAAGCTTGGTCAACCTTAGCGGGTATTAATCACCAACTCCCCCGCGAGGCCTAGAGGAGCCCTCGGGGTGCGTCGCGCCGTGGGTCGAGCCCTTACCACGACGAGCCTTCAGTGACGTGGCTTGCGAACTAGAAGCTCGCTGTGCAGTCTCGCGGCCTCCGACGCCCCCCAGGCACCGCCTCACCTCACAGCGTTCCGCTCCGCCTGAATTAGTAATCGTTCGTTACCTGTGATTACTCCGTCGCGCCCACAGCTCGTTATTGACTGACTCAGTCGTGGGTTAGATATTTTTCGCGCTGAAATGTCGTAACGCAGAAATCGTCCCGCAGAATCCGCGCACTAGGATTTCCAGCGCAAAATAAGGGCATGTTACCCTAATGGAATCCGTCTGGTTTCCAGATGTTAATGGTAGACTATTGAGCCTCTGACGACAGCGTTTTTGTCCTCTAACGACTAGTAACGAGCTTCTGCTCTCGACATCGGTCACTTGCCTCTAACGACGGCGGGTTTAGAGTTTTCACAGAATTTATCCGCCGCCCAGAAGCAGTAGCGGCGGTTGATACCCGCCCTCATTGGGGTGCAATGGCGCAACTGCGCCAGCATTGCGCCGCTCACTCCGCCACTCGTTCCGCCGCTCATTCCACTACACCGCCGTTTCCCCGCCACCCTAGCGGCCAGGAGCATTCCCTGGTCGCTGCGTTTAAATCCCGGGCACTGAATCGCCAGATATTAACTCCTACTTCGTTAGAGACCCGCAGCGGCAATGTTCCACAGACGAGCCTTCCTCAGAAGAGCCTTCCTCAGAAAGGCTTTCCCCGCGTTCTTCAGAAGGGCTCTCCAGGGTGCTCTATAGGAGGCTCCCTTGTTTCCCCGCGCGTTTCCAGCTGGGTTAGGGCGAACCCAAGTCTGAGCACTCGGCTCGGGCCTAGCCAGGGCGGGAGGCTCGGGCTGCACCAAAGCGCATGGCTCGGATCAGGCCCGGTTCGACCCGACCGTTTGACGCGGCTGGAGGGGGGACTAGGGTGTGGATGTGACAGTAACGGGGGGCGGTTTGGCGGGGGATGGGGGAGGAGCGTGAGAAGGGGGGATGTGCGGGCGGCAGCGGGGGTGGAGATTGGCGCTTCGGCGGCTCAAGACGTGATTGGAACGCTGGGCCTCGATACACTCACGTTCCTCGTGGCCACCGTTATTGTCATCCCCTTCTTCCGCAGCTTCAACGCGAGCCCCGTGAGTTACGAGGGGAATGGGGAATGAGGATTGTACCTGGGGAACCTTTTTTAGAATTCTCTAAAAACACATACAATATGAGGGTAACTGTATTGCGTCGAGGGGGAATCTCCTTGCAGCCAGTCATCCCCGTTATTGCCATCCCCTTCTTCCGAAGCTTCAATGCTAGTCCAGTAAAAAGTCAATGTCATTCCAACATGGTAAACTTCCGTCTGGGAGAGAAATATTTTTAAGCAGCCGTCCTCAAGTGACATTCTCTTTCTTACCGTGCCTCTGTTTCCCCCTCCCCCTCCCCTCCTCCCCTTCCCTCCCCTCCTCCCCTTCCCTTCCCTCCTCCCCTTCCCTTCCCTCCTCCCCTTCCCTTCCCTCCCCACACTCCCTCCTCCCCTCCCCTCCCCTCCTCCCACCCGTCATTCTGAATCAGATTCTCGGCTTTCTCCTCTCGGGCGTGGCGCTTAACCAACTCGGCCTCATCCGCAACATCACCGACGTCAAGGCGCTCTCAGAGCTCGGCATTCTCTTCCTGGTACGCTCTCAGTCTCTCGGTCTTCCCTGCAGAGCCTATGGGCACAAGCATTAACCAACTAGGGCTCGTCCGCAACATCACCGACGTTATAGCGCTCTCGGAGCACGGCATTCTCTTCCTGGTACGTCCCATTCTCTGCCCTCTGCTCTCCGATCTCTCCTTTCCCCTTCTCCTGCTCTCTGCTCCCCCCACTTCTCGCTTCCCTCCCTCTCCCCGCTCCCTCTCCCCGCTCCCTCTCCCAACTTCTCTTCCCTTCTACCTGCCCCACTCTCCTGCATCCTCCCGCCCCCTCTTATCTCCTTTCCTCTTAGCTCCTCCCCGCTCTCATATTCTCTCCCCCCTTACAACACCTCCCATCCACCTCACAGCTCTTCGTTAGTTAGGGGTCTCGTGTCGAGCTCTCCGTTGGGCGTCTCTGGGCTCTCGCCAAGTTCGCATGGCATATCTGCTTGAACTCTCTTCTTGCTTTCTCCAACAGACACTCTTGCTTGCAATGGGGTATTCTTTCCCTTCCCCCCTTGCAACGCCCCATCCCCCTCGCAGCTCTTCGAAATGGGTCTCGATTTGAGCTCTCCATTGAGCGCCTGAGGGCGCTTGCCAATTCTGCCATTGAGTCGGCTCAAAAGCTTTCCCCCCTTCCCCCTTCCCCCTTCCCCTCTCCCCCCCTCCTCCTCCCTCCCCCCTCCCCCTGCCCACGCTCCCCCTTCCCATCCTTCCCCTCCTCGTTCCCCATCGCTCGCAGCTCTTTGAAATGGGTCTCGAGCTCTCCATTGAGCGCCTGAGGGCGCTTGCCAAGTTCGCATTCGGCATGGGGCTGCCACAGGTGAGAGGGAAGGGGAGTAAGCATTTGCCTCAGGTGAGAGGGAAGGGGAGTAAGCATTTGCCTCAGGTGAGAGGGAAGGGGAGTAAGCATTTGCCTCAGAGGGAAGGGGAGTAAGCATTTGCCTCAGGTGAGAGGGTACAGGGAGCGTCTGCTCGTGAGAGGCTAGAGGGGCTACCCTCAGGTGAGAAGGTAGTGCTGAGCGCCTCAACACCAGCCCTTGCCAAGCTCGCGTTCGGCATGGGGATGCCTCAGTTGAGTGAGAGTGAGGTGGAGGTCACTCATGAGTGACGATGCCTCAGGTGAGTGAGAGTGAGGCGGAGTAAGAGGCTGGCGCGGTGAGAGGGGAGTGGGTTTAGGGTCTAGGCGGCAGCTGCACGTGAGATGGCTAGGGGGCAAGGTGCGTTGCGGCGCCTCAGTCCTATCCTCCCCTTCCAAGGTTGCATATGGCGTGCTGCCGCCACGGGTGAGCGGTTGAGGAAGTATGGTTTTGCCGCAGGTAACTTGCAGCGTTTGACCTGACTCTTGACAGCGCCATCATTATTGAGGCGCCTCAATAACAGGCGCCTCAAAAACAGACACCTCAAAAACAGGCGCCTAAAAAAACAGACGCCTCAAAAACAGACGCCTCAAAAACAGGCGCCTCAAAAACAGACGCCTCAAAAACAGGCGCCTCAAAAACAGGCGCCTCATAAACAGGCGCCTCATAAACAGACTGCTCACGTTGGGGGAGTGTGGTTTTGCCTCAGGTAACTTGCAGCGTTTGACCTGACTCTTGACAGCGCCATCATCATCCCTCCCCCTCCTCTCCCCTATTTCTATCCCCTCTCTACCCTCCTCTCCCCGACTCCTCCCCTCCCTGCAGGTTCTGCTAACCACTCTCGCGTTTGCAGCGTTCGAGCTGCCTCCAGACAATGCCATGGGCACTCGCCTGCTCGAGTGGGCTGCCTCGGCCCGCCCGGACCTGGTATGCCCTCTCACTCACACTCACATTGGTAATGACCCGGTATGCTCGCACTAGTACCCTCATTGCTGAGGCAGGTGCAGCGTTCGAGCTGCCTCCAGACAACGCCATGGGCACTCGGCTCCTTGACTGGGCTGCCTCGGCCCACCTGGTGCGCTCTCCTTCTTCTCCCACATTTGTAGTGACCCAGCATGCATGCACTAGTACACTCTATGCAGAGGTGCTTTCAAATTGTTCCATTTGGCAACCTGCTTGCCGTTGCCGCCCAATATGCACAGTTGCCGCCCAATATGCACAGTTGTATACTGGATTCCCATAACCATACTGGCTTCCCATGACCATACTGGCTTCCCATACCCATACTGGCTTCCCATACCCATACTGGCTTCCCATACCCATACTTCGTACTTCACCCATTCCGCCCACTCTGCAATGCTGCCTCTCTTACCTTACCCCCGTGCCTTACCTTACCCCCGTGCCTTACCTTACCCCCGTGCCTTACCTTACCCCCGTGCCGTACCTTACCCCCGTGCCTTACCTTACCCCCGTGCCTTACCTTACCCCCATGCCTTACCTTACCCCCGTGCCGTACCTTACCCCCGTGCCGTACCTTACCCCCGTGCCGTACCTTACCCCCGTGCCGTACCTTACCCCCGTGCCTTACCTTACCCCCGTGCCTTACCTTACCCCCGTGCCTTACCTTACCCCCGTGCCTTACCTTACCCCCGTGCCTTACCTTACCCCCGTGCCTTACCTTACCCCCGTGCCGTACCTTACCCCCGTGCCGTACCTTACCCCCGTGCCGTACCTTACCCCCGTGCCGTACCTTACCCCTGTGCCGTACCTTACCCCCGTGCCTTACCTTACCCCCGTGCCTTACCTTACCCCCGTGCCTTACCTTACCCCCGTGCCTTACCTTACCCCCGTGCCGTACCTTACCCCCGTGCCGTACCTTACCCCCGTGCCGTACCTTACCCCCGTGCCGTACCTTACCCCCGTGCCGTACCTTACCCCCGTGCCGTACCTTACCCCCGTGCCTTACCTTACCCCCGTGCCTTACCTTACCCCCGTGCCTTACCTTACCCCCGTGCCTTACCTTACCCCCGTGCCGTACCTTACCCCCGTGCCGTACCTTACCCCCGTGCCTTACCTTACCCCCGTGCCGTACCTTACCCCCGTGCCGTACCTTACCCCCGTGCAGGTCAACATCCGGTCTGTCGATGAGGCCATTGTGATCGGTGCTGCTCTTTCTCTCTCCTCCTCGGCCTTCGTTCTTCAGGTTGGTTGGCTTCTTGGGCCCCTCTTTGTGAATCCGCATGCTCCCGCCCTTCCTCCCTGCTCATGGTCCTGCTGTCCTCCCCGTGTCAGCATGTAACATGTCGTGTCCTTGTCCGTGTCCTGTCCTTGTCCGTGTCCTGTCCTTGTCCGTGTCCTGTCCTTGTCCGTGTCCTGTCCTTTTCCCGGTCCTGTCCTTGTCCGTGTCCTGTCCTTTTCCGCGTTCCTTTCAAAGAGCTTCGTCTTCGTGTTTCCTTTCCTTTCTATGTGCTCTCCTTGCCTCAGCTCCTGTCAGAGAAAGGAGAGCTCGCCACCCATGTCGGCGCAGCCTTACACGAGTGGAGTGGAGAGCGTGTGTAATGAGTCTATTTTTTAGTCGACCAAAAAATAGACTCTTTACACACGAGTGGTGGAGAGCTCTCCCTTCATCCCTTTTAGGACGCCTCGAGAAACGTCGTTGTTCTCTGTCACCCTTTCACCCCTTCTTACTTCCCTTCTCACGCTTCCTCCTCGCCTCAGCTCCTGTCAGAGAAAGGAGAGCTCGCCACCCGCGTCGGCTCAGCCACTCTCGGGATCCTATTGCTGCAGGCGAGTCAGTTGTTGAGCAATTCTGTTGCTACGAAAAATCTTGAGATACCCGTGGTGCAGGTGTGATTTGAGTGTGATTTGTCAGTGATGCGATTTAAATTGCAATCGCATTTTGATCATGTCTAAGTGTGACCAACCCTGGTGTCAATCTAGCCTCCCCTCCTTCACAGTGATCCCCCCTTCTCTTCCCTAACTTCCAGCCTCTCCTCCCCCCTCCTCCCCCCTCCTCCCCCTTTTCTCTCCCCCCTTGCTACTCCTCGTTCTCCCCCAATCATTTCTTCGCCCCAGGACATAGCAGTGGTTCCTCTTCTGGTCATCCTGCCAATCCTGGAAAGTGGGGTAAGTGCCTCATCCTTTTGCCACTCTTGCCTCCGTTGAAGGAAGCACCAATTGCATTGCAGGTTGTGGCATCTGAAATTCGGAGGTGGCCAAGAAATAGCCGCGCACACAAGTCGTAGCAATAGTACGTTCTCAGTTTGAAATCCTCAAACTGAGAATCTGGACACTATCCTTTGGCCCACTATCCTCAGTTTGAAACTCTCTCACTTTCTCAACACCCTCTTACCTGCCACACTCTCTCACCTCGCTCTCCTTTCCAGGATCTCACCAACGATTGTCTATTCCCCCTCCTGGCAGCGGCAGGGCTCAAATCTCTTCCCGACCTGGGAGCTCAAGCCCTACATGGGCTGACTGACCCACCCCCCTCCTCCCCCCCTCTTCCCCCCCCCCTTCCCACACTAGACTTGAGCATTTTACCCGGTCGGGTCGCGGGTACCCGACCTGACCCGACATTTTGGCCGGGTCAGGTAATAGGATTTTGACGAATTACCCGGCCGGGTCGGGTCGGGTACTCGGGCCGGGAAATGCATACCCGTTACCCAAGAATTACCCGAAATGTCGGGTAATTTATTACCCGTCGGGTCGCGGGTACCTGACCCGACTTCGGGTTTGTTACTCCGGGTTTGCTGAATTTTGCAGCCACCTAGGGGTACCCGGGTAATATTACCCGACTTCAATTAAATGCAGGTCCGGTATACCCGGCTCGCCAGACGGGTACCCAATTACCTGGTACTAAAATGCCGGGTCGGGTAACAGATCTCCAAACATTACCCGGAAATTACCCGACCCGACTCGACCCGGACCCGATCGCGGGTAGGGCAAAACCGGGTCGGGTCGGGTAATTACCCGGTTTTGCTCATGTCTATCCCACACCATTCACTAGGCCTTCACGGACGGCAGTCTTTCCCCCTCCCCTTTCCCCCCCCCCCCACACCCTCCCCCCCCCCTTTATCCCTCCCCCCACACCATTCACTAGGACAACAGCCTTTTCCCCCTCCTAGCAGCAGCGGGGCTAATGTCTAATGTCGCTCCTGGGGCTGGGGGTCCTGCTCTACATGGGCTGACTGACTCACCCCCCTCCCCACCCACCTCCCCCCCTCCTTCCCTCCCCCCCTCTCCCCCACACCATGTACCAGGACTTTACGGACGACAGTCTCTTCCCCCTCTTGGCAGCAGCCGGGCTAAAGTCGCTCCTCAGGCTGGGAGTGCTGCTCTTCATGGGCCAGCTCTTCTCACACAAAATCTCTGCTCCCTCCCTCTGTAACCCGCTCACCATTCACCAGGACTTTGCGGATGACAGCCTTTTCCCATTGCTCGCAGCAGGGGGCCTCAAGTCACTCCTCCTGGGGCTGGGAGTGCTGATGTACAGGGGCCAGGCCAGCTCTTCTCACACAAAATCCCTGCGTCTGTAACACACCATTTTTTACGCGCCTCAAAAAACACACCATTGACCAGGGCTTCACTGTCGACAGCCTTTTCCCCCTCCTGGCAGCAGCGGGGCTAAAGTCGCTCCTCGGGCTGGGGGTCCGGCTCTACATGGGCTGACTGTTCCTCAGATGAAGTCTCCTTCCCCCCTGCAGGTGACTTTTGAGTCGACTCAAAAGCCACCTACGCTCCTCGGGCTGGGGTTCCTACTCTACATATAAAGCTGACTGTTCCTCAGATGAAGCCTCCTTCCCCCCTGCAACCCCGCCTCCATTCGCCAGGACTTCACGGACGACAGCCTTTTCCCCTTGCTAGCCGCGGCGGGGCTAAAGTCGCTCCTCGGGCTGGGAGTGCTGCTGTACATGGGCCGGCTCTTTCTCAGAAGGTTCTTCGAGTTTGTGGCCGAGTCTCGCAGCACGGAGGCGTTTGTGGCGCTCTGCCTGCTCACAGTCACGGGCACGTCGCTCATCACCAGCAAGCTGGGCTTCAGTGACTCGGTGGGTGTTGGGGTGTTGGAAGTTGGAACACATACGCTAGGCTAGGCCCCTTAGAGGGTCTTGCAGCACGGAGGCCTTTGTTGCGCTCTGCCTCTTGATGGTCACGGGCACGTCGCTCATCACCAGCAAGCTGGGCTTCAGTGACTCGGTGGGTGGTGCATCTCAATGAGTTGGTGAAAGTTGGACCCATAGGCCCCTCAGTGTAGAGTCCATAGGCCCCTTGGAGTCTCGCAGCACTCTCGCCATTGTGGTGCTTTGCCTCTTGACTGTCAGTCACAGGCACGTCGCCCATCACCAGCCAGCTGGGCTTCAGTGACTCGGTGGGTGAGTTGGTAGGGCAAGCAAGCGCCAACTGGCGTTTCACAAGCACCTCGGGTTGACTCTCTGGAGGTCACGTTTGAGTTGCAGCACCGAGGCCCATGGGGTTCGTTTTGTTGTACTAACCAACAGACTTGATGGAAATAGGGCCTCCGCAGCCCACCTGTTATCCATCGACGACTCTCTAGGCCACATTTGAATCTCGCAGCACCAAGGCCTTTGCAGCCATTCTAACAGCACTCTGCATTTTGGATGCTCTCGACTGCGAACTTCTGACAGCAGTGCTGTCAGAAGCCATTCTAACTTCTTCCTCATTCCTTCCTTCTCTTCCATTTCGTTTCGGCTGGGAGCGTTCTTCGCAGGAGCACTGCTGGCAGAAACTAACTACCTTGATGCTGCTCTCTTGACCTCCCTTGACCCCTGTTGACCTGTCTTGACCTCTTTTGAACACTGCTGTCCTCTCCTCCTGCTTCTGTGGGTTCGCCCTGTGCTTCCTTTGCAGCTGGGAGCGTTCTTGGCAGGGGCGCTGCTGGCAGAAACCAACTACCGCACTCAGGTGAAATACCATGCTCTCACTGTCAGGTGATTTCTCAGGTGAACTTTTGGAAGGTTTTTTTGCTGCCTTATCATGTGATATCAGGTGATTCATCATCCTCTCCCCCATACATCTCCTGAGTCCACAGCTTCATGTGTATGGCTCCCTCTTTATGGCATGTTGTCAATCATGCATCCATCCGTATATCCATGTATCCATGTATCCATCCATCCATCCATCCATCCATCCATCCATCCATCCATCCATCCATCCATCCATCCATCCATCCATCCATCCCTCCATGCTCCCCCGCCCCGCGTACAGGTTGAGGCGGACATTCGCCCCTTCCGGGGTCTCCTCCTGGGGCTCTTCTTTGTCACGACCGGCACGTCTATTGATCTCGGTGTAAGGCAACCCCTTCCGGATCCCTTGCTGTCAAGCCGTCAACTCAGCTTGTTTGCCACCATGGGCGCGCCTTTCGATTCGACCTCAGTGACTTTTGAGTCAACTCAAAAGTCGATTCGACCTCAGTGTGATGTTGTGCTTCCTTGCTGCATCGCGCTGCGCTGAGGAGTCTGTTTTTGAGACGCGAGAAGAAAGGCGCCATGGGCGCGCCTCAAAAATAGACACCTCAGTGCGATGGTGTGCTTCCTTGCTGCATCGCGCTGCGCTTTGCCTCCCCCCTCACCCCCCTCATTCTCTTCTCTCCCCCCCCCCCCCCCCCCCCCCCTTCTTCTCGCAGCTCCTAGCGGCGGAGTGGCCCAACATCCTGCTCCTCCTCTCCGGCCTCATCGCCATCAAGACTGCCATCATCACGGCCCTTGGCCCCCGTGTCGGCCTCTCTCTCCCCGAGTCTATCCGCACGGGTCTGCTGCTGTCGCAGGGAGGGGAGTTCGCCTTCGTTGTTTTCGCTCTCGCCAGCCAGTGAGTGACTACACATTCTTTCCAATTTCCTTTCCTCCTCTCCTCTCCTCTCCTCTCCCCTCCTCTCCCTTCCCTCCCCTGCCCCTTGGGCGCCGGCAGCAGAGGCTTTCAACTGATCCCATCCTCCTGTTCCCCTCGATCCCCTTTCCTGGTGTATTTTCCTTTCCTTTCCAGTCGATTAAAAAAATATCCCCTTTCCCCTTTCCCCCCAGACAGACTCACCTCGATCCCCTCGATCCCCTTTCCAGGTGTATTTTCCTTTCCTTTCCAGTCGATTAAAAAAATATCCCCTTTCCTTTCCCCCAGTTCCCCTGTCGACTAAAAAAAATATTCCTGTTCCCCTCGATCCCACTTCCTTTCCCCCAGGCTCGGAGTCCTGCCAGTCGAACTCAACAGACTGCTGATCATTGTGGTCGTTCTGTCCATGGCTTTAACTCCCCTGCTGGACTCCCTTGGGCGCTCGGCTGCCATGTCTTTCCCCTGATCCCATCCCACGGCTCCCCCTGTTCCCCTTTCCTTTCCCCAGGCTCGGCGTCCTGCCAGACGAGCTCAAGAGACTCTTGATCATTGTGGTCGTTCTGTCCATGGCGGCGCTCACTCCCCTGCTCCCTGTTTCCCCTGTCCTCCTCTACCCCCAGGCTCAGTCAGAGTTCTCCCAGACGAGCTGAATCGGCTGCTGATTGAACTGTGCATACCCACCGCACCGCATCCCACCTACTCCCATCCCCCAGGCTCGGAGTTCTCCCAGACGAGCTGAATCGGCTGCTGATCATTGTGGTCGTGCTGTCAATGGCGCTCACTCCCCTGCTGGACTCCGTTGGGCGCTCGGCTGCAGATGCGCTGGAGAGGAGGGAGAGGGAGAGCAGGAAGGGGGAGGAGGAGGGGGAGGAAGGGGAGGAGGAGGTGGGGTTGGATGTGGTGGGAGGTGGTAAGGGGAAAGGGAAGAAGGGTGGAGCAGGCGGAGGAGGAGGGGGAGGGCATGGGGTAAGTGAGTGCTTGTCTGTCAGTAGGTACTGAGGTGGCTTGGGATGGGGAGGGGGTGGAGGAGGTGGGGTTGGATGTGGTGGGAGGCGGTAAGGGGAAAGGGAAGAAGGGTGGAGCAGGCGGAGGAGGGGGAGGGCATGGGGTAAGTGAGTGTTTGTCTGTCAGTAGGTACTGAGGTGGCTTGGGATGGGATGGGGAGGGGGTGGAGGAGGTGAGGTTGGGTGTGGTGGGAGGCGGTAAGGGGAAAGGGAAGAAGGGCGGAGCAGGCGGAGGGGGAGGGCATGGGGTGAGTGTGTGTCTGTCAGTAGGTCCTGAGTTTACTTTTGAGTCGACTCAAAAGTCAGTAGGTCCTGAGTTTGCTTGTCGCCGTCAGATGTCACTGACTCGCTGCTTGGTGTGACAGGTTCGAGTTTATGGGGTCCCTGATGAGGGTATTCGGAGGGTGGTTGCTGATTTGTATCGCCCTGTGTCTCCTATTCTCCTGCTATCTCCCCGTCCTTCCCCCCTCCCCTCCCCCCTTTCCCTTCCCCCCTCCCCTTCCCCCCAACCGCCCTCCCCGTTATGCACAGGGTCACTATGGGGGAGCAGAGCCCATAGTTATTCTCGGCTTTAACCACATGGGACAGGTAACACATGGGGCAGGTGACGCATGGGGCAGGTGGCACATGGCATTTGCTGTTTGTATGTATCTTAAAGCACCACTGATAAGCTATAACTGCTGCTCCTTACCATCTACACTACATGATACTACCACCGAGTGTTACCACCCTGTGTTACATTACACCGAGTGTATCACAATGTCTAACTATTCCCTCATCCCTGTGTCTCAACTGTTCTCTCATCATCCCTGTGTCACAATCTTTTTGTAACCATCCTTGTTTTTCACTGTGCACGATTCATCAACCATCTCTGGTTTCTTTGTCAACGCCGCTGGCAACCAACTCAGGGGGGTCAAGAGCGGACGCCCCTGGCTTTGTTGTCACTGGCTACGAATGCGCTGCCTGCCATCTAACAGTGAACCGTCTATGTGTTACCACTCTCTCCCGCATCCCCCTCTCAGGTGCTCGCCAACCTGCTGTCAACGCCGCTCGCCACCATTTCAGGAGGCTCAGGAGGGGACGCCCCTGGCTGGCCCTTCGTGTGCTTCGACCTCAACCCTAAGCGCGTGCGGGTGAGTGGAGTTGGGTACCTATGATAATTGTAGTTAGTGTGACTACAATGAGAGTGCGGGGGACTAGTTAGTGAGTGGGTGAGTTAGTGTGTGAGTGAGTGAGTGAGCAAGTGTGAGTGACCTCATGCTCCTGGATGGCCCTTTGTGTGCTTCGACCTCAACCCCAAGCGAGTGCTGGTGAGTAAAACTGCCCCCTGGATCCGCATAGAGTGCAGTTGGTGAGGAGTAAGGTCATGCCCCCGGAGAGCCCTTTACGTGCGTTGATCTCAATCCAAAAAGAACACGTGTCTGTGTTCTGAAATCGGCATCCCGCTCTGAAATCGGTGCTCTGTGAGTGTGGGTAAGGTGATGCCCACTGCCCTTTGTTTGTGTGCGCTATGCATCGTCAACCTCAATTCTGTAGAGTGCACGTGAGTGGATCAGCACCTCAATTCTGTAGAGTGCACGTGAGTGGATCAGCACCTCAATTCTGTAGAGTGCACGTGAGTGGATCAGCACCTCAATTCTGTGGAGTGCACGTCAGTGGATCAGCACCTCAATTGTGTTGAGTGCAAGTGAGTGGATCAGCACCTCAATTGTGTTGAGTGCAAGTGAGTGGATCAGCACCTCAATTGTGTTGAGTGCAAGTGAGTGGATCAGCACCCCCTGCTCCTTGTGCCAAGTGCTGCACCTCAATCTGCTCCACTCTACCCCCCACGTAACCGCCCCCATCCCCTCGCCCCCCACCTACCACAGTCTCCCCATCTCTCTCAGATGGTTAAGCGCCTCGGCTTCCCAGTCCTATCCCCCCCTCCCCCGCATCCCAGCCCAGATGGGCAAGCGCCTTGGCTTCCCGGTCCTCTATGGCAATGGGTGCCATCCCTTTACAGGGACGCTGCCATGAATCTTGTGCATCCTTAATTCACTCCGCCCTGCTCTTCCCCACTCTTCCCAACAACCCCTCTCTCTCCCTCCCCCCCCCCCTCCCCCTCCCCCTTCCCCTCCCCTCCACCCCCCCAGATGGGCAAGCGCCTGGGCTTCCCGGTCCTCTATGGTGACGGGTGCCGCCCGGCAGTCCTGGAGTCGGCCGGCATTCCCCGCCCCCTAGCAGCCATGGTGGTGTACTCAGGGCGGCAGCAGTCGGTGTCTTCTGTGGAGCGACTGCACGACGCTTTCCCAGGGGTGAGTGGACGGGGCTAGCTAGCAAGGCTTTAGAAAAAGGGAGGGTGAGGGGGAGGGGCTGGGAAGGGCGCGGCTCTAGGGTGCCTTTCCAGGGGTGAGTGGGAGGGCTAGGTAGCAAGGCTTTCGAAAAAGGGAGGGCGAGGGGGAGGGGCTGGGAAGGGCGCGGCGCGGCTCTAGGGTGCCTTCCCAGGGGTGAGTGGGAGGGCTAGCTAGCAAGGCTTCAGAAGGGGCGTGTGGTGTGGGTGGGGCATTGACCGTGTTGGGTGCTTGTTGCTGTCCCCCAAACACGACGCCTTCCAAGGGGTGAGTGGGAAGGGTTTACGAAGGTTCTCACCCATTGCCTCACCCAATGACGAGGGGTTTACGAGGGGTGAGGGGTGAGTGGGAGGGGTTTACGAGGGTTCGTTGCCATTGCCATTGCCACCGTTGCTGAGGGGTTTATGGGGTCTCACTCATTGCCATTTCGTTGCCTCTGCCATTGCCATTTCGTTGCCTCAGCCATTGCCATTTCGTTGCCTCAGCCATTGCCATTTCGTTGCCTCTACCATTGCCATTTCGTTGCCTCTGCCATTGCCATTTCCATTGCCAATTCATTGCCATTACCATTTCACTGCCATTGCCGGTGCTATTGCCATTGCCATTGCCATTGCCGGTGCTATTGCCATTGCCATTGCCATTGCCATTGCCTTTTCCCCTCTCCCCTTCCCCTCTCTCCCCTTCCTCGCTCGCCTCCCCCTCTCTCCCCTTCCCCTCTCTCCCTTCCTCGCTCGCCTCCCCCTCTCTCCCCTTCCCCTCTCTCCCCTTCCCCTCTCCCCTCCCCCTCTATCCCCTTCCCCTCTCTCCCCTTCCCCTCTCTTCCTTCCGCTCTCCCCTTCCCCTCTTTCCCTTCCCCTCTCTCCCCTTCCCCTCTCTCCCCTTCCCTTCTCTCCCTTCCCCACCCCCTCGAGCTGCCAATCTACGCCCGAGCAGTGGACGCCACTCCGAAAGGGGGGCGCCGCCTCACATGTGGTTTCTCCTCGTCCAATCTCCTCTTCTCTCATGTCACCCTCTCTCCCATGTGCCCACCAGTTGCCCATCTATGCGCAAGCCGTGGACGCCACTCACCTGGCAGAGCTCAAAGAGGCAGGCGCCACTTGTTCTCCGCCTCACAAGTCATTGCTCCTCATACGCTCTCCTCCTCTCTCGCCTCCTCCTCTCTCCCCTTCTCCGCTTTCTCTTCCCAGTCCCACCAGCTACCCATCTATGCGCGAGCCGTGGACGCCACTCACCTGGCAGAGCTCAAAGAGGCAGGCGCCACTTGTTCTCCGCCTCACATGACATTGCTCCTCAAACTCGTGATAGGAGTCTAGTTTTGAGGCGCCTCAAAACTAGGCGACACTTGTTCCCCGCCTCACATGTCATTGCTCCTCATACGCTCTCCTCCTCTCTCGCCTCCTCCTCTCTCCCCTTCCCCTCTCTCTCTTCCCACTCCCACCAGCTGCCCATTTACGCGCGAGCAGTGGACGCCACTCACCTGGCAGAGCTCAATGAGGCAGGCGCCACTTGTTCTCCGCCTCACATGTCATTGCTCCTCATATGCTCTCCTCCTCTCTCCTCTCCTCCTCTCTCGCCTCCTCCTCTCTCGCCTTCTCCTCTCTCGCCTCCTCCTCTCACGCCTCCTCCTCTCTCGCCTCCTCCTCTCTCCCCTTCTCCTCTCTCGCCTCCTCCTCTCACGCCTCCTCCTCTCTCGCCTCCTCCTCTCTCCCCTTCTCCTCTCTCGCCTCCTCCTCTCTCGCCTCCTCCTCTCTCCCCTTCTCCTCTCTCTCTTCCCACTCCCACCAGCTGCCCATCTACGCGCGAGCAGTGGACGCCACTCATTTGGCGGAGCTCAGAAAGGCGGGCGCCACCGACGTGGTGCTGGAGAGTACGGAGGTGAGAGTGCTGGGAGGGTATTGTACAGAGTGAGGTGATTATAGTGAGTGAATACATGGTGAATACATGGGATTATAGTGAGGTGAATACATGAGGACTTGGTTTTGCTGTGGCATCTTAGGAGGGATGCTCTGGACAGCGCACTCCCTTTCACGCATCTTTCCCATTCACACACTCACATCTCTGTCTTTCACCACCCACCCTCACAGGTGGGTCTGCGGCTCGGCTCCATGCTATTGCAAGGCATGGGGGTGATGTGATGAGGGACGACGTGGTCTTTCTACGCCGCCTCATGAGGGAAGCACTAGACAAGGAGGCAGTCACCCGCCGCCCTGCATCTGGCACACCTTTCTTATGCACATGCTTGCGCCCATGTCTCTCTCCACCCCCCCACACAGGCGGGTCTGCGGCTCGGCTCCATGCTGCTGCAAGACATGGGGGTCATGAGGGACGACGTGGTCTTCCTACGCCGCCTCATGAGGGAAGCACTAGACAAGGAGGCAGTCACCCGCCGCACGCGGCAGCGCTTGCTCAAGGACAGACAGGATTCGGGCAGCAGTAGGCCGCCCACGGGGGATTCGGGCGGCAGCAGGGCGGCAACGGAGGAGCTGGGCGGCGGTGGCTTGGAGAGCCAAGGAGGGGGGCCGGGTGGGGAGACAGGTTTGGCTGAGGTGGGGAGGAAGGTTGGAGGAGAGAGCGAGGTTGGAAAAGGGGGTGGTGCTGGTGGTTTTGCTGTGGTACAGCTAGTGGGTGATGACGTAAGTGGTGCCGCTATTGCTGCTGCTGCTGCTGCTGCTGCTGCTGGTACTGCTGGTGCTGCTGGTGCTGCTGGTGCCACTGGCGCTTCTGCTGTTCCTGTTCCTGCTCCTGCCACTGCACTGGCACCGGGAAAAGACGTGGTGATTACAAGAAGTCAAGCGATGAGGGCGGTAACAGCGTTTACCAGCAAGGAAGGTGTTGATGGTGTTGATGATGATGGTGATGATGGTGATGACAACAGCAGTGGGGATGATGGTGCATCAGCGGGGAACAGGGGGCAACTGGGGGATGGTGCAACGATGAGAATGGAGCGCAGTGAGACCAGTGAGAAGAAGACTGCAAAGAAAGGGGATGAAGCAGCAGCAGCAGCAGCAGCAGGAACAGCAACAGCAGTACAGGCACAGGGCGACAGCAGCAATCTTCCTGCAGTGGCGGCATTTACTGGAGTTGTAGCGGCCACAGGCACAACAGTACCTGCAGGTCTTGGCGACACTTCCTTGAGAGGAAGTGTGACAAGTGGGGCAGATGCGAAGGGTGACCTTTCAGGAGAGGCAAGGGGTAGTGGAGAAGATGAGATGGCTCAGGTGGAAGGCGGGAGCAAGGAGACCAAGGAGGAAGAGTTGTTTCCGGCAGACGATGATGGGCTACAGTATTTTTCAGATGGAGAGGATTTCGTTGATACGAAGTTAGGTTGTAACTCAAGCAGTGTTTCCCCTGAAGTATGATTGTTATGAATGGGACTGCCGAGTAGCGCGGAGGGCAATGGCGAAACTGTGAACGAGTGAATGACAATAAAATGAAAGACAATACAATATATAGAAAGCCCAGGGTGATCCTGGTCGTAGGATCGGAAGATTCGGGAAAAGTATCGAAGGGCCTCGATGTGTCGTAGCGAGGTCGAGAAAGGCCCAGGAGGCTCGATCTGATAGGTATGGAACCCTGGCGGTGGTTCGGGACTGTTCGAGTCGTACGCCCTGTAGCAAGCCTTAGTAAGGAATTAAGCATTCCTTACAATGATACTAACCCTCATTACCTACCCACCCAATTGTGTATGTTTAATTTGTTCACTCACATATTTTATGGTGCAGTTGTATCCTCATTCCTAATCCGTATCTGCACAAGCTACAGAGAATGCGCCATCGAACCAATTCGAAGTACAGCAGCCAAACCTCGGGCAGGCTCACCCAAATCACGAGGCCCTCCCCAATCAACAGCCAGCACGCGCAGATGTGCAACTGTTCACGCGGCCTTTCGAAGCTTCTGCCAGACTGCCATCCACCTTGAGCATGAAGGGGGCACCCGACCAGGCCTCTCGATATCCTAGGGGTCACCCTGCAGTTTCCGAGTTTGCCCGAGATCCAACTCGTCCAGGCTGGGTACCCTAAAAGGTTTGACTGTTTTTGCAGGGAAGAGTTTCGTCAAGCTCGGAAGAGGCCACTCCTGACAATGTCAGGAGGAGAATTTTTTACTAGGGGCGCGAACGTTTACATTAGATTTTACAGGGCGGGTCTATCCCGTACTCGGAAATTTGCTGTGGGATAATTCTGGCTTGCCTGTCCATGGACGGGTATCGATATTCTGAATGCGTCAAAAGCAGGAAAAGGTAAAAATGTACCTTGTTTTCCAAATCAGTGTAACTACCCTGACTTCCAGAGGCCTGCACCCGACCGAAGCCCACCCTGAGATTGGATTCGCTGCGGTAGCCTGTCCTTGGGGAAAGACCGGTCAGTCAAAAGAACAGGCAGGACGACGAGCAAGGCAAACATCCTACCTTGGGAGTGTCGGAGTCGCCGAATATTCACACCCAAGGTCAGCACCATTTCTACGACCACCGTCGATTCTCGTGCGATGGGAGTACATCAGCTCTCTCTATCGTTCGATCTGCCAGAGTTTTTGGTTCTCTGGCTCTCGAGCAAATCAACCGTGGCTACTTTCTTGCATCAGTCAACCCCCCACACCCCCACCCGCCCTTTCTCCTGGCCTTTTCTCTACTCCGCAGATTCACACGGTGAATACTCAACCGTTTTGTTTAATTATTTGACCGCTCCAGAACGCGAAATAACTTTCTCAACCGTAATCTGACGTACTTCAGTGAGGCTGTCATGGACATAACTTGAAGCTATGTGATCCCTTTTGTGCGTTGTTCCTCATCAGTCTCGTCCTGGCCTAGCTTGTCTCGTCCTAGCTTCATCTCGTCCTAGCTTCATCCACTCCCATCCCATCTCCAGGGATTCCAACGAATAACGTTAGAGTTTCCGCATTTGCTAGTTCAAACAAAGGCGGGAATGGTCGAGGCTAGGGCTCCGCTATTGATGCTTGCTGGGAGGCTGGACTTCGTGTATCAATAGCGGAGTGACCCGGCTGGACTTGTGTGCCGCGGAATCTGCATTTAGCACGGCGTAACCCTTTTCGAAGTGTCATAGTTTAGCGTTTTTTCTACACCTAGGAAATGTTTTCATAGTATATTGGTTTCCTACCCCTAGGGAAGGTTTTATTCGAACCACATTTCTTATTTTAAAAGGCGGTTTGAGCATCACGCCGCACCTTTCTGTTTCCTAGCATTCCCAGCCATGGCGTTAGCTCGCCGATTTAACAAAATGCTGGGGAAGCAGGAAACACCCCCCGTTCCTTCCTCCCGCAAGCCTCGCAATCCGCATTCGTCGCAAGATTCCGACAGCAACAGCGAGCCTCGTCGCTCAAAATCTTTCGCCCGTCGCAGCTACGACAGCAGCGCGCCTTCCGCCTCTCCGACGCCACCCACCGACGTTTTCGCGAAAATGCGGTTACCATCGTCTTCTTCCGAGGACGGGAAACGGGATGCGGGACAGTCGCGCGACCATGGCGCGCACGACCTGGTGGATTCCCCCGATAAAGTCACATCGAAATGGAGCAAAGCCGACTGGCGGGAGATCATCAGCGCGATAGAGACGGCTTCTAAGGGGTAATGCTTACCCTAAAGTTACGGACGAGCAAAGGACGGCACTCCACCTGGTTACCTGTCGATCCCTCCGATCTATCCCTCCGATCTTTCTTTGTTTTCCTGCTTGCCCAACGTATCGTTGCTTCTGCCATCTTTCCTCTTCTCCGTATCTTCCGCCGTCTCCGCCGCTCACTACGATTGTCTCCCCTTTGTCTGCGCCTCCTGCTACCGCTTCCCCTTCCGCACACCTGCCTTCCGCCACCCCCAGGTGCCACAAGTGCGGAGACGCTTCCGCCAATCCCTCCCTTTCCGCCGCCTTAAAACTCGTCTCTCAGCTAAAAGCCGGTGGCAATCACAACGACACGCTTTCCTCCGCCGGCGCCTCTCCCGGACGTCATTCCCAAGCCTCCTCCAGACCTCACTCCCGGACCTCCTTCCCGGACCTACACGGCGGGATGACGGACCTCGGGCCCTCCGCGTGTCCGTACCTAGGCGGAGGCGGAAAGAACGAGGCGGGGAGAGCAGGGGGGGGAGGGGGAGATGCTGGGGAGGGTGTTCCGCGGGTGGTGGGACTGGTTCGGACGCACTCTGGCGCGAGCAGTGCCGCGGATTCGCTTATGTCGGGGACGGCGCATAGCGGGTTCGACACGGGTCTGACCACACCCAAGTCGCCCGCGAGAATTAAGGGGGAAGGCGGAAGGGGAAGGGGCGGAGGGATGGGGGGAGGGGGAGGGGGGAGCAATGTGGGCGCATCTGATCTCCTGAATCGGCGCATGCTGTCGGTGATTACAAGGGCGCATGAGCTATACGCCAAGGACAATGTACGTATGGGGATGTGTAACTTGGTACTGTAGAAAGCTAAAGATTAGTATCGGGTGCATGCTGTTGGTGATCACAAGGGCGCATGAGCTATACGCCAAGGGCAATGTACGTCTGGGGATAGAGGTATATACATCGTGTCATTTCGGACTGCCATGGAACCCACCATGTCGGCCCGTGCTCTGCCCCCTCCCCGTCCCGCGGCTCTTTTCAGTTGGCCCCCGAGGGAGCCAAGTTCTCACAACAGACCCCCAACAGCAGCAAGGTGGCCGATTCCATTCTCCCTCGGCTGCTGGACTGGAGCTCGCCAGTCTCTTCTCGCTCCTCTCCCTGCTTTACGCTCACACGCGCCTCTTCTCCTTCTCTCCACTTCTCGCTCCCACCAGACCCCAAACGGCAGCAAGGTGGCCGACTCCATTCTCCCTCAGCTGCTGGTTGGAGCTCGCCAGCCTCGTCCCCCTCCCCTCCCCTCCCCTCCCCTCCCTCTCCAATCCCACCCCGCCCTTCCCCTCCCCGTTTCACTAGACCCCCAACGGCAGCAAGGTGGCAGATTTCCTGCTTTCTCAAATTCTGGAACTCACCCAGTCTTTTCCCCCTCCCCTCCCATCTCTCTCCAATCTCACCCGCCCCCCTTCCCCTCCCCTTTTCATCAGACCCCCAACGGCAGCAAGGTGGCAGATTTCCTGCTTTCTCAAATCCTGGAGCTCACCCAGTCGCCCGCTGGCTTCATCTGCAGCGCTGTCCGAAAGCCCGACGGCGCCGTTTCGCTAAAGGTGCGTGCCGTACTCGTTATAGGTACTGTTGCGTAGAACAATACGGTGGTAGCTGCTGGAGCTCACCCAGTCGCCTGCTGGCTTCATCTAAAGGTGAGTGCGCATTGTGTACTCGTTATAGGTGCTGTTGGGTGTTTTGCAAGTAGTGGCAGCCGCTGGAGCTCACCCATCCCTCTCGCTCTCCCTTTTTCTCTCCTGCCCATCCTTGCCCATCCCTGCCCATCCCTGCCCATCCCCCTCAGACCCACTCCATCACCACCATCGCGTGGACCAGGGAGCTGCGCCTGTGGCACGCTGAGGGCGCGCATTATAGCCCTTGCTTCCTCTCCTCCCCCCCTCTCCTGTATCTCTCTCTTGTGTGCCACGCCGCCGCACTGCCTCCCCTCCTCAGACCCACTCCATCACCACCATCGCGTGGACAGGGATGGGCACGGATGGGCAGGGAGCTGCCCTGTGGTGCACAGAGAACGCTTGTTCAGCCACCCGTTGTCTACCTTTGTCTCTTTCTGTCCCGTCCCCCCCTCTCAGACCCACTCCATCACCAATTTAGCGTGGACCAGGGAATTGCGCCTGTGGCACACTGAGGATGCGCATTATAGCCCTTGCTTCCTCTCCTCCCCCCCTCTCCTGTATCTCTCTCTTGTGTGCCACGCCGCCGCACTGCCTCCCCTCTCCAGACCCACTCCATCACCAACTTAGCGTGGACCAGGGAATTGCGCTTGTGGTACACAGAGAATGCGGCCAAGGGCCTGGTGTTCAGCAACCTCAACACGCTCTTCGGCCATGTCAGTAATATTCTGTATGGCTACTTATGTATGCATGGCTACATGTGTATGGCTACATGTGTATGGCTATATGACGGCATAGAGGGAACAGCACAGAGAACGCTGCCAAGGGCCTGGTGTTCAGCAACCTCAACATGCTGTTTGGCCATGCGCATACTCCTCTACTGGCCCTCCCTGTTCCTGCAACCTGAATGTATCACTCAACGACCCTCGCTCTGCTGCCCCCCCGCCCCACGCCCCACCTGATTGTCGTTCTCCCCTCTCCCCCACCTCCCATCTCCCCGTCTCCCTTCTCCCTTCTCCCATCTCCCATTGCTCACTGTCAGATTTTGAAGGCCAGCAAGGACGACCCTCGCTGGCCAGCGATGTCGTTCTGAGGAACAACATGGAGGACGACCCTCGCTCTGCTGCCCTCTTCCTCCCCCCCCCCCCCTGGACTGATCGTATTTCCCCCCTTTCCTCTCCCCCACCTCACATCTCCCACAACCCATCTCGCACCTCCCTGCTCCCATCCCCCCCATCGCTCACCATCAGATTGTGAAGACCAGCGATGTCGTTCTGGCCAACGACGCTGAGAATGACCCTCGCTCTGCTGGCCTCCCCCCCGGCCATCCTCCCATCAACACGTTTCTGGGCGTCCCTCTCTTCCACGGTATGTGCATGTGCTTGGTATGTGCATGTGCTTGGTATGTGCATGTGCTTGGTATGTGCATGTGCTTGGTATGTGCATGTGCTTGGTATGAGCATGTGCTTGGTATGTGCGTGTGCTTGGTATGTGCATGTGCTTGGTATGTGCATGTGCTTGGTATGTGCATGTGCTTGGTATGTGCATGTGCTTGGTATGTGCGTGTGCTTGGTATGTGCGTGTGCTTGGTATGTGCATGTGCTTGGTATGTGCATGTGCTTGGTATGTGCATGTGCTTGGTATGTGCATGTGCTTGGTATGTGCATGTGCTTGGTATGTGCATGTGCTTGGTATGTGCGTGTGCTTGGTATGTGCATGTGCTTGGTATGTGCGTGTGCTTGGTATGTGCATGTGCTTGGTATGTGCGTGTGCTTGGTATGTGCATGTGCTTGCGTGGGGACTTGGACGTTGGCACATGGGCATGCACATGGGCATGCACATGCACACGGCCATCCCGCCATCAACACGCTTCTGGGCGTCCCTCTCTTCCACGGGTGTAATGAGTCGATTTTTGAGTCGACTCAAAAATCGACTCATTACACACGGATTATACACTGAGAGAATTATTGTCACATGGAAGGCTGGGCGTAACTTGCAAAAGTTACTTGTCCGCGCGAGACTCCCTGAGCACCAGTTGGCGAGATGTGGGTTACCCACGACACGTCCCGAGGAATGAAGACCTGGCACCTTGGAACTTTCCAGGGTGTTTTGGATTGGCTGACCAGATTTTAGTTGCGGTTTTTCCAACCTTGAAGTTGTTGTTTTCGTAGCGCAGTTTTTGTTTAAGAGCTCGCTTGTAAACTCACTTTTAGAATTCCACCAGCTCTGATGAAGGTCTGACTTGGGGCCTGTCCCAGTCAGCCGAAACTAGTTTGCGTTTTAATCTTCTAGTGGAGTTGAGTTCGGAACTTCAATTTCTCGCATTTTAAACATGGGTATCAATTTACCTATTGTCACTCTTTTTGCTAAAGTTTTTCCTCTTCGCTGCAGCCCACCCTAACGCTTAATGGGTAAGCACTTGTCCCTCTCTTCCACGGTAAGTGCCCCATGTAAGCACTTGTCTGATATGCATCCCCATGCTCTTCCTTGCTCATTGTCATCTTTCCCCGAGCCTCTCTTCCAACCCTCGCTGCCAGGTTCGGAGCTGATAGGGGCGTGGGCGGTGGCCAACAGAGAGCTCGGATACAAGGAGTCAATGCTGGGGGAGCTGCAGCCCGCTGGTGACTGAAACTCCCTCTAATCCCATCCCCCATGTCATGTCAACCCTTTGTTTCTGCGGCTGGCAGGTTCGGAGCTGATAGGGGCGTGGGCGGTGGCCAACAGAGAGCCCGGATACGAGGAGTCAATGCTGGCGGAGTGGCAGCCGGTGACCAAAACGGTGGCTCAGATCGTGGCGGGGATTCAGGGGAGGAAGAAGGCGGCAGAGAAGGAGAAGCGCATGACGTCCATGCTCAAGGTGCGACCTCCATGCTCAAGGTGCAACCTCCATGCTCAAGGTGCGACTAGACATGGGCAAAATGCGATTGCGATTTAAATCGCATCGCATTGGGGGGCGATTTAATTGAATGCGATGCGATTTAATCTCTGAAAACAAAAAAAAAACGCACATCGCGTTTTGCGCGAGATGAATATTAAAACCGCATGCGGTATTTAATTAAATCGCGCGATGCGATTTAGAATCGCATCGCCTTTAAAACAGAATAAAAAAACACCCAAAAAAACCAGAAAAAAACCATGGCTGCCGGGAAATTGAATCACGGGCAGTCGTAAGCTAGAGTGCAAATAACTAGTGTGGTTTCGTAGTGGGTTTCAGAGTGGGTTTCAGTGCGACATCGCACGCGATAGAATAATAGCATATCGCATTTAAATCGCGTTTTTTAGCGCAATTAAAATTAAATCGCGCGATAAACAATTCATCTCATCGCGCGATGATTAAAAAAAAAAAAAAGCAATCGCAAAAACGCGATTAAATGCGATGCGATTTTTTTTGCCCATGTCTAGGTGCGACCTCCATGCTCAAGGTATAATTTCCATGCTCAGAGTTCAAACCAATGTGGAGTGCATGCCATGACATGTGGTGCTTATGCTTGTGAGAACGGCACCATCACAGCTACAGATTGTACCTTTTTTCGCGTCAGATTAGACCGTTGTGATTCTGACGCGCGCACACACCCCCGTCTTCCAGCCCGCGCAGCTGGCGGCACGTGTCGCAGCCGCCGAGATGCGTGTCGGCGGCGATGGTAACAAGGGAGTGTATAGCGAGTATGGTGGCGAGGCCGACGCGGCTTCGGAGGGTCCAGCCGAGCTGAGGAGATTGCACTCGCGACAGCATTTTGCACCAGTTTTCCGTCTTCCGTCTCTCAGGGCACTGTAGAAGGGGGGGGGGGTGGGGACAGGGAGGATGAGGGGTGGCACTCGACAAGGGCGGCATCATCACAGCAACGAACCAGCCCTCTCTTCCCTTCCGTGTTCCCTCCTCCCTTCCACCACTCCCCCTCTTCCATCCCTCTTCCACCCCTCTTCCCCTCCCTTAACCCCCCTCGTCTTACCCATTTTCCAGAGCACTGTCGACGCAATCATCGCACTCGACGACGGCGGCACCATCACGGCAATGAACCGGGCGGCGCGGAACCTGTTTGGATTCACCGAATCTAACAGCAGCAGCAGCGGGGATGACGTGGACGCGTCCACCCTGCCTGACACTCTGCACATCACGGACCTCCTGCAGTCCGTTGACGGATCAGAGGACTTTTTAGAAAACGGTGAGAATAGTGACCCGTTGCTTAGCAGAGTACAGGCAGCAGTAAGAGCGGTGTTTGTGTGGACGCGTCCACCCTGCCTGACACTCTGCACATCACGGACGTCCTGGAGTCCGTTGACGACGGATCGGAAGACTTGTTTGAAAACGGTGAGATGGGATTCCTGGTGAACACCACTTGGGTGCCATAGGTCTTTACGAGGCAGCAACTTTGAAAACGGCGAGATGGGATTCCTGGTTGCCAGCAATACTGGCAGGCAGCAGTGGTGAGATGTTTTTACCCTGCGTATCACCGACCTCCTTGAGTCCATAGATGGCTCCGCGTACTTGTGAGAGAATGATGAGAGAGCAATGCGACGACACAACACATTCCTAGTCCTCCCTGCTGGATTGAGTCGAATTATGAGTCAGCTAGTCACACACGGATTTCTCTTGAGTCCTCGGAGGACTTCTGAGAGAGTTTGTAATGAGTCCGTTTTTGAGTCGAGTCAAAAATAGGCTCATTACACGCGCATGGTGAGAGAAAACGTTACACAACACATTCCTAGTCCTCCCTATCGGACACTCTGCATATGACGGATTTCCTGGAGTCAGTAAGGTTCTGTGACTGAAAAACTCGGTGCCAATTCTCCTCTCCCCCATCGCACTTGACACATTCAGAGGCGATGGCCACCCAGTGCCAACCATCGGCTCTTGAGTTGACTCAACTCTAAGCCTCTCTGCATCTATTCCCACCGCTTCCAACCTACCCCTGCCTCCCCCCTCATGTCTCGACGCATTCATAGGAGACGACCACCCGGTGTCAGCCATTGGCTCCTGAGTTGACTCAACTCAAAGCCTCTCTGCATCCATTCCCACCGCTTCCAACCTACCCTTACCTCCCCCATCAGGTCTCGACGCATTCATAGGCGACGACCACCCGGTGTCAGCCATCGGGCGGCAGATTGTGGGCGGCAGGGTGTTTCTGGAGCTATCTGTGGCGTCAGGCGCGACTGCCGACGTGGCATATGTGCTTACAGCGAGGGAGATGCATGCAGGGAAGCACTCGCATGTGCCGGGCACACCTGGATCGGCTTACAGTGGGGGCGGGGGAAGCATAACTGGGGAGATGGCTGGTATGGGGGGGACGGGCATGGGTATGGGCATGGGTGGGGGTATGGGTGGGGGCATGGGTGGGGGCATGGGTATGGGTAATAGTGGCGGCATGGGGATGGGTATGGGTATGGGCAGTCGGGGCATGGGGATGGGGATGGGTATGGGTGGAGCCATGGGGGGGCATGATGGGATGGAGGGCCATGGAAGGGGAGGAATGGGTGGCACGGGTGGCATGGGTGGCATGGGTGGCATGGGTGGGATGAGTGGGGTCCAGCGGGCAGGTCTAACTGCTTCTGGAGGTTCTGCTGGTGAAGGCTCAGCTGGTGCATCTGCCAGTGGGGGATTTGGGCCTTCTGGGGCCCGTAATGCCTCTGCTGGTGGTTTCGGGGGTTCTGATGGTGCTGGTTTTGGTCAGAAGAGCCTGGATGCTCTTGATATCAAGCCGTACCAGCCCTTAGCTGGGAGTAGTTATGCAAATTACACAAGGGAAGAGTACGGCTCATATTGTTATGATGGAAATGGTATCTAAGGATTGCTTTACCTCTGCTTACTGTACATTACCCATGGTGAATTTCAGAGGACTTAGCAATGCGTCATAGCGTAGTGCTTGTTTCAAGTGTCTTGGTTGTATTGCTTCTCTTCTCTATCAATCAATCCTACCTCACCTCAAACCGTTTCAAGTCTTTGGCACACATAAGCCTGCGAGCTAGAAATGTTGGTACTGTACCACTGAATGAAGGATGACACGGGTGAAATCCAGAATTTCCCACTGTAGCGAGTAGCAAACACCGCTCCGAAACGCACTGCACCTCGGGAGACTCCGAACTGATTCTGCAAATCCTTATCCTTTCTCTTACGGCCGTTGCTTTTCCCTCTTTATGGTGCCGCTAGGGTTTCATCGATTCCGCTCCCGCCAACAGAACCAAACTCTCGAGCCCTCGATACTGTCGCAAATTGCACCTATAATGCTCACTTCGCCCGTGTCATATTCCTGAATTCTTTACCTATTTCCCGCTTGTTCGCCTATTTCGTTCCAGCTCGGTTTCAAACCTTCGAGCCTTCAAGAGTTTGAAGTTACAAACGCCTGAACTCAAAAACTATTATGCTCGTCGTCTATAACTGCTTTCTCAAAACTTTCTTCTCCTAGCCCATGTCGCGGGACTTTGGGAGTGTCGTTCTCGTAGCGCACATTTGAAATCGATCCTCCAATGTTATCTTCGGTGTGCTTGACCCACGGGCTTTCCACTAGATATTGCGCGGCAGTACCACGTACCGTGTAGTCGTCCGAGTGAGTGGCCTAAACTGGTGGGTGATGAGTTAGAGTTACGAAGTTTTTTTTTTTTCGGCACACGCTTAGTGTCGTCTGACTGTCGGGGGATGACCGCCGTTGTCAAAGCTGGTGGTGTTGTGTATCGGCACCAAGAAGTACGTCTTTCGTATTTTCGTTTCTCTCCTGAAGAATCTCTTCTGTCCATGCGCAGACATTTCGCTCCGGTGAAGAAATCTCCGTTGTAGGTCTCCGCAGCAGCATTGCGCTCTCGCCTTTGAGTTTGACGGCACTTCTGACGCCTATAGATTGTCCTTCTATACCCCGTTAATCTCCAGAAAGCTCTCAGTTTCGTGCTCCCAGTCCTCCGACTCTTCTAATTTCTATTCCCACTTGAGTCTTTAGACCCTTCGACAAAATAGTCACACCTTCGTGTAGCTGCTGCGATCGTCAGCGTCGCCGTTCGTGCTTAGTCACGTCTCTTATAACGACGTTGCGGACACCTTCACTTTTGACACCCTTCCTTTTCGACGTCTTCGTTTATCCGACGCTTTCACCTCTAACCCTGTTGGCCTTTTACCTTGTGTCGTTAGCTTCTCCTTTCGGCGTCCAATCCGGCACTGAAATATACCCGCTTCCGCTTCTCGGGTCGCCGTTAAGTTTTGAGGCGCCTCAAAACTTCTCCTTTCGGCGTCCAATCCGGCACTGAAATCTACCCGCTTCCGCTTCTCGGGTCGCCGTTACATCTTGGCGTTAGAGTCTTGCGGCCTAGTTTCTCCACTCTTGTGCTTCTAGTGAAGGCACCGTATGGAGGAAACACCCGACAGTCACGCTGACCCGCCTCCGGAGCCAATGGAGGGCGTGGAAACGGAGCAACCTGCGGAAACGGCGGCTGCGGAAGCGGCGGCGGAGCCAGGATCGACCGCCGCCGAAGAGTTCGAGGCGGGTGATGCGGGTTTGCCGGCGTCCGATGCGGCGCCTGATGCGGCGCCAGATGCGGCGACAGATGCGGGTTATCCGGCGCACGAGAGCGCGGTAGCGGCGGCGGCGGCGGAGCTGGAAGGCGAGGGGAAGGACGCGGAAGGAGCGGCAGCGCCGACGACTGTGATAACGGAAGATGCGGAGAACCTGTTGGACGACATGCTGGGAGAGTCAGGTACTTGTTTTGATTATTTTTGAGGCGCCTCAAAAATCGACATGCTGGGAGAGTCAGGTACTTTTTACGCCCAACCCTTTCCCCTTTCTTTCCCCTTTCGTTGACTCCGCAAAATCGTGGAGATTTGATCAAACCAACCCTATTACACCTGCCTGTTGTCATGTTTGAATAATTTAACCTGTCCCAATCTCCCAATCTCCACCACGCCTCACGCCTGCCATGTTCGATCACTCACACTGCTCTATTGAACGTACAAATTTTGCCGTTGACATGGAACATTTTTTCGGCCCTTCATCGCCTGCCCTTCATTTCCGTTACCCTCTCACTCACTTCCCCACTCGTGCTTTCATCTTCCCGGAAATGAAGGGCGAGCTTCTGATTTCTTACAGCAGCATTTGCCTGCTTCCTCACCCACTGACCGTCCTCCCTCCAACTGCTTGTTCCCTCGTCCTGCAGAGGCAGCTCCCGAACCTGCTGCCGAGCCTGTTATCGAGCCTGCTTCCGAGCCTGCTACGCAGGCTGCTGCTGCCGAAGGTATTCCTGCAGAGGCTTCGGGAGCTCCAATTGATGATGCTGGTCTGGACTTTCCATCCGATGCTACCCCCGAGATCCCTCCCACTGTTGCAGAAGTGACTGCAGAGAAAACGGCTGTTGCAGAGGAAACTGTTCCTGTAGAGGGGTCCGAGCACCAGACGGAGCACCAGAGAGAGCACCAGACCGACGCGTCACAGTTACAAGAGGGGGCGGAGCACCCTGTAGCGGGGATGGGCATGGATGTGAAGCATGATGGGGCAGGGCGAGAAGGAGCAAACGCTGTGGCGGATGCTGCGAACGAGCAGCAGCAGGAGGGAGGGGATCTTATAGCGGGGATGGGCATGGACGTGAAGGTTGATAAGGAAAGGCTGGAAGGGGAGCAGGTGGGGGGGGGAGGTGAGGGGGTGATGGGGGGAGAGGGGACAGAAGGGCAGGTGATGGGAGGAGAAGGGCAGGTAATTGGTGGAGAGGGGCACGTGATTGGCACAGAAGGGCAGGTGATGGAGGGAGAAGGGCAGGTGGCGCAGGGAGGGGAGCAGATCGCGCAAGAAGAGCTGGGCGGGCAGCAGGAGGAGGGGGGGGGACACCCCGAGTCACAGGTGGGTATGGACTTAAAGCCTGATGGGGAAATGCAGGACCGGGAACAGATGGGGGGAGAAGTGCTTATGGCGCAGGGAGGGGAGCACCTGGAGGGGGAAGGGCAAATGGCGCAGGGAGGGGAGCAGATGGCGCAGGAGGGGGTGGGCGAGCAGGGGGGAGGAGGGGGAGCCGAGCATTATGGGAAGGGGTATGGGGGGCAAGAGCATGGGGGTCAGGAATATGGGGCCCAAGAGCAAGGGATCCAGCAGCATGGGGGGGATGACCATGGGGGGCAAACGTATGCGGAACAGGGATATGCGGGGCAGGAGTATGTGGGGGAGGGTTATGTGGGCCAGCAGCAGCAGGGACAGGAGTATGTGGGGCAGGAGCAGCAGGGACAGGAGTATGTGGGGCAGGTTTATGCGGGGCAGGTGCTAGGAGGAGATGTGGAGATGCAGGAGCGGCAGGAAGGGACGGAGGCGGTGTATGCATCTGGTCAGGAAGGGCCGGTTATCGGAGGAGAAGCAGCACCTGCTGCTGCTGCTGCTGCTGCTGGATCTGCCCAAGCTGACGCGGACGCACATGCAGCAGCTGTCGCAGCAGCCGAGGATGCAGCAGCAGCGGCAGCAGCAGCAGGTGGAGGTGGGGGAGCAGCGCATGAGGGGTATACGCAGGAGGGGTACACGGAGGCGATGGCGCCGGACGGATATACTGAGGGGCTTCCTGAGGGGCAGAGTCATACGATGGAAGGGTATGCTCAGGAGGGGGGGCAGACTCAGCCCCCTGAAGGGTATACACAAGAGGGCCAGACGTATGAAGGGTATGCTCAGGAGGGGACTCATGGGGGCTATGCGCCAGAGGGTGATCATGCATATGGGGTGGGGGGAGACGCAGGAGGGTATGCAGAGGGGCAGATGGAGGGCCACGCGGAGGGGCAGATGGAGGGCCACGCGGAGGGGCAGATGGAGGGACACGTGGAGCAGGGAGGTTTGGAGCATGCAATGTTAGCAGGAGACGGAGGCGCAGGAGGAGAGGGAGCAGCAACAGCAGGAATGGCAGCAGGAGAAACAGCACCAGGGGAGGCAGCAGGAGGAGGGGAAGCCGTGGGAGTGGCAGCAGAGGGAGGAGGTGCAGGCAGGATTGAGGTGGCTCTGACTAGGGCAGAGACAGAGGCAGGGGACCGTGCGCTGTCTAGTGTGGAGGCAGCGGACCGTGCGCTGTCTAGTGTGGAGGCAGCGGATCGGATTCTGATGCAGCAGCAGCTGCCACAGCCGCCACCGGGGCCAGCAGTGGGCAACCTGATGCTGCTGCCCATGCTGCTGGATCAAATCGAAGCCCATATTCTCTTCTATGGACGCATCTTGTGAGTGCTATAGTTGCTTGCATACTGTGTTTTGAAGGGTGTGATGGTGAGCACTGGGCAATCTGATGCTGCTGCTGCCCATACTGCTGGATCAGATCGAGGCACACGTTGTCTGAGAATGCTGTGACTGGACAAGGCCCGGCTTATATGGGGAATTTTTAGTCGACTATAATATTTCCTGGATCGGATCGAGGGCCACGTTCTCTGTAAATGCCGTGTCTGGACAATGTCCAGCTGATATAGGGAGTGGATAGATCTGTCTTCCCATTAACCTATCGCTCCCATGTGCTCAATCTCGTGTCCTCCCGTAACCTCTTGCGCCCATTCCCCCTTGCGCCATATGCCCATGCTCCCATATCCCCGCGCCCCCATGCATCAGCCGCAAGGAGCCCTTGGAGGAGGAGCTTAGGAATCTCGTCTTTGCAGGCCCATCGCTCGCATGTGCTCGTGTTCGTGTGTCCCCCCCGTATCCTCCTGTGTCCATTCCCCCGTGCGCCCATACCCCCATGACCGCACCATTAGTTGCAAGGAGCCCTTGGAGGATGAGCTTCGGAATCTCGTTTTTCCATAGGCCCATCGCTCGCCTGTGCTCTTTTTCGTGTGTCCCCCCCCACTCCCGTATTCTCCTGTGTCCATTCCTCCGTGCGCCCACACCCCAATGCGCCCCCATGCATCAGTCGCAAGGAGCCCTTGGAGGAGGAGCTGCGGAATCTCGTCTTTGCTGCCATGCCGTCTGGTAAAGTGCCCCCCCCCATCTCATTTGTTAGCGTACTCCCCACCAGTTAATGCCTTCTTGCTCAGGTACTGCCTTCCCGTTCAGGTAGTGCCGTCCTGCTCCGGTAATGCCTTCCCGCTCAGGTACTGCCTTCCCGCTCAGGTACTGCCTTCCCGCTCAGGTACTGCCTTCCCGCTCAGGTATCCCTTATGCGCGCCATGCTCTCCTGATTCGTTAGAGCCGACTAACTCGATCAAATCACCTTACTTGTCCCTCCCTCCCCCTCTCGTCTTCCCCCTCACACCAAGCCAGACCTAGGCACACCGGAGCACGAGCACTAACTCGAAGTGGTCGAGGCATGTTTGAGTCGACTCAAAATACACCCTCTCGTCTTCCTTCTCACACCCAGCCAGACCTAGGCACACCGGCACGGTACCGCTGACTCGAAGTGGTGGAGGCATGGGAGAGGCGCAAGAACGCTCCAGTCCTCCCTTTTCTTTCTCTTCTGCCCGCCTGCCTTACACGCCTTACCTCTTGCCTCACTTACTTGTGCCCCGCTCCTCTCTCCCGCCCACTCTCCCACTCTCTCCCCCCCTCCCCTGCTCCCTCGCACCAGACCTAGGCACACCAGAGCACGAGCGTTGGCTCGAAGTGGTGGAGGCCTGGGAGGAGCGCAAGCGCATGATTGGCTACCAAGCCTCCGGCGGCCGAGGCAGGGGGAGAGGCCGGGGCCGAGGCAGGGGCAGGGGCAGGGGGAGGGGGCGGGGGAGGGGGAGGCGTGGCGCATATGCCACCCATGGGGGGGGGTATGGGGGGCGGGGGGGGTATTTGGGGGAAGAAGGGGAGGAGGGGGGTCCAGGGGGGTACTTGGCAGGGGGGATGAGGAGGGGAGGTGTGTGGGATGCTGAAATGGTGGAGAGAGATGAAGGGAACCCCGGGGAAATCGACGGGGATATTCCCCACAGGAAGTACCGGGTTGGCCCGAGAATACCAGCAGAGGCGCAGAAACTGGGGGCGGTTCTGGGGAGGGCGGCGTGGGGGAAGGAGGAGGAGGAGGAGGCTAGGGAGTATCTGCTGGGGCTGGCCCCGGATAGGGAGATTGCTGCTGAGGCTGCTGGGAGGGCTGCTGCTGCTGCTGCTGCGGCAGGGAAGCATGCTGCTGCGGCACTGGGGCTGGTGCGTGCTGATGGGGGGGAGGGGAAGGGAGGACTGTGTATGAAGGATGAGGTTGCTGTTGGTGGTGCTGGTGGTGGGGGTGTTAGTGATGCGGCTGCTGATGGTGGTGCTGGCTCTGCTGCTGCACCTGCTGCTGATACTGCTGGTGGTGTTGGTGGTGGTGCTGCTGCTGTGGGTGCTGGTGCTGGTAGTGATGCGGGCGGTGCTGTTGCTGCTGTGGGTGCTGGTGCTGGTAGTGATGCGGGCGGTGCTGTTGCTGCTGTGGGTGCTGGTGCTGGTAGTGATGCGGGCGGTGCTGTTGCTGCTGTGGGTGCTGGTGCTGGTAGTGATGCGGGCGGTGCTGTTGCTGCTGTGGGTGCTGGTGCTGGTAGTGATGCGGGCGGTGCTGTTGCTGCTGTGGGTGCTGGTGCTGGTAGTGATGCGGGCGGTGCTGTTGCTGCTGTGGGTGCTGGTGCTGGTAGTGATGCGGGCGGTGCTGTTGCTGCTGTGGGTGCTGGTGCTGGTAGTGATGCGGGCGGTGCTGTTGCTGCTGTGGGTGCTGGTGCTGGTAGTGATGCGGGCGGTGCTGTTGCTGCTGTGGGTGCTGGTGCTGGTAGTGATGCGGGCGGTGCTGTTGCTGCTGTGGGTGCTGGTGCTGGTAGTGATGCGGGCGGTGCTGTTGCTGCTGTGGGTGCTGGTGCTGGTAGTGATGCGGGCGGTGCTGTTGCTGCTGTGGGTGCTGGTGCTGGTAGTGATGCGGGCGGTGCTGTTGCTGCTGTGGGTGCTGGTGCTGGTAGTGATGCGGGCGGTGCTGTTGCTGCTGTGGGTGCTGGTGCTGGTAGTGATGCGGGCGGTGCTGTTGCTGCTGTGGGTGCTGGTGCTGGTAGTGATGCGGGCGGTGCTGTTGCTGCTGTGGGTGCTGGTGCTGGTAGTGATGCGGGCGGTGCTGTTGCTGCTGTGGGTGCTGGTGCTGGTAGTGATGCGGGCGGTGCTGTTGCTGCTGTGGGTGCTGGTGCTGGTAGTGATGCGGGCGGTGCTGTTGCTGCTGTGGGTGCTGGTGCTGGTAGTGATGCGGGCGGTGCTGTTGCTGCTGTGGGTGCTGGTGCTGGTAGTGATGCGGGCGGTGCTGTTGCTGCTGTGGGTGCTGGTGCTGGTAGTGATGCGGGCGGTGCTGTTGCTGCTGTGGGTGCTGGTGCTGGTAGTGATGCGGGCGGTGCTGTTGCTGCTGTGGGTGCTGGTGCTGGTAGTGATGCGGGCGGTGCTGTTGCTGCTGTGGGTGCTGGTGCTGGTAGTGATGCGGGCGGTGCTGTTGCTGCTGTGGGTGCTGGTGCTGGTAGTGATGCGGGCGGTGCTGTTGCTGCTGTGGGTGCTGGTGCTGGTAGTGATGCGGGCGGTGCTGTTGCTGCTGTGGGTGCTGGTGCTGGTAGTGATGCGGGCGGTGCTGTTGCTGCTGTGGGTGCTGGTGCTGGTAGTGATGCGGGTGGTGCTGTTGCTGCTGTGGGTGCTGGTGCTGGTAGTGATGCGGGTGGTGCTGCTGCTGAGGGCGTTGGGAAGGAAATTGGCGCCAAGGGAGCAGATACAATGGATATTGACACAAAGGAAGGTGATACAAAGGAAGCAGCGAAGGGAACTGATGAAATGGGGACAGGCACAGTGGGAGCGGATACAAACGATGCTGCTGCTACAGCTGATGCTGCTACAGCTGATGCTGCTACAGCTGATGCTGCTACAGCTGATGCTGCTACAGCTGATGCTGCTACAGCTGATGCTGCGACAGCTGATGCTGCGACAGCTGATGCTGCTACAGCTGATGCTGCAGCTGATGCTGCTGCTACAACTGATGCAGCGGATGCAGCTAAGGGAGTCGATGAGAAGGGAGCAGACATGATGGAAACGGATACAAAGGAAGCTGCTGCTACGACTGATGCTGCTGCTACAACCGATGCTGCTGCAGCTGCTGCTGCTGCTACAACCGATGCTGCTACAGCGGATACAGCAGAAGCAGGTAAGGGAGCTGACGAAAAGGGAGCAGACACAATGGAAACGGATACAAAGGAAGTTGCCGCTACAACTGATGCTGCTGCTATAACCGATGCTGCTGCTACAACTGATGCTGCTGCTGCTGGTGCAGCTACAGCTGATGCTGCTACAACCGATGCTGCTGCAGCTGACGCAGCTGATGCAGCTGCTACAACCGATGCTGATGCAGCTGATGCAGCGGATGCAAAGGAAGCTGCTGCTACAACTGATGCTGATGCTGCTACAACTGATGCTGCTGCTGCTACAACCGATGCTGCTACAGCTGATGTAGTGGAAGAAGCTAAAGGAGGAAGTGATGAGAAGGGAGCAGACACGATGAAAACGGATACGAAGGAAACGGAAGTGAAGGGAACTGCAGAAGAAACAGGAGCTGCAGAAGTTGCAAAGGAGGAGGAGCAAGCAGAGGGAAGCAGTGCCGATGCTCCTGCTGCTGCCACTGCTGTTGATGCTGCTGCTGCTGCTGCTGCTGCTGAAGGGGCTGCTGTCACTGCCCCTGCTGTTGATGCTCCTGATGCTGGTACTGCTGACGAGGCTGCTGCCCCCCCCACCTCTGTTCCGGCTGCTGCTACAACCGATATCGATTCTGCTACAGTCGATGCTGTTACAACTGAAGCTGCTGCTACAACAGATGCTGAGATGGTTGCTGGTACAACGGAAGCTCCTACTATTGATGCTGCCGAAACTGAAGTTGCAACCAGTAATGTTGCTGCTGCAACCGATGATGCTACTGCTGTTGTTGCTACAACTAATGCTGCTCCCGCCGAAGCTTCCACTAATGATGCTGCTGCTGCTACAACCGATGCTGCTAAAACCGAAGCTGCTACAACTGATGTTGCTCGAGCTGAAGCTGCTGCTACGGATGCTGTTACAGTCGATGCTGCTACAACCGATGCCGCTACAGCTGATGCCGCTACAGCTGACGTCGTTGCAACTGATGTTGCTGGGACTAATTCCGCTACAGTCGATGCTGCTACAACCGACACTGCTATGACTGATGCTGCCATACCTGCTGCCACAACTGATGCTGATGCGACCGATGCTGCTGCAGCTGATGGTGCTGCTGTTATAACCGATGCTGCTACAGCTACCGAGGCTGCTGCTGCTGCTCTCGGCACTGCTCCTGCTGCTACCACCGACGCTGCTGCTGCGGCCGCTATTCCTCCTCCTCCTCCTGCTGCTGCTCCTGCCACAACAGCTGCTGCTACCGCCTCTGCCCCTGCTCCCACCAAGCCCACCGGCCCCCTCCTGGACGGCTGGTGCGAGGCAGCAGACCGAGCCCTCCTAATGGCAAAGGACTCAGCAGTGAGCGCAGGCAAAGCCATGCTGGCTCTAGACCGTGACCTGGATGCCATGTGGCAAGAGCTCTATGAGGTGGACAACTGCCACGTTGAGGCTGACAGCTCAGCAGGCAAGCTGGCAGCGCAAGCGCTAGCCGCTGCTGCTGTTGCCCGCGCCTCTGCCGCGGCTGCTAAGTCTGCGTGGGACTTAGTAAAGTATTACCGGGGGAAGGTGGGGTGGATTTTGATGGAGGAGGAGGGTAGGGCGTGGAAGGAGGGTGGGGGGGGGAGAGGGGGGAGGAAGGGGGAGAGAGGTGGGATAAAGTATGTCTTGGCGCTGCCGGTTAAGCCGAGGCGAGTGAGGAGGACCGCGAGAGAGCTAGGGAAGACGGTGGATGGGGCATGGGAGGAGGAGGATGATGAGGAAGAGGAGGTGGAAGGGTTAGAGGGGGTGCAAGGGGCGTCTCCGATGGACGAATCAGGAGCTGCCACGTGGACGGAGGAGGAAGGGTTTGGGGTAGGGGGAGGAGGAGCGGGGGGGAGGGGGTTGGGGGTGGGGGTTAGCCCTGTTGCGTTTCAGGGGTATGAGGGGACGCCCGGGGGAAGGGGAAGGGGGAGGGGGAGGGGAAGGGGAAGGGGAAGGGGTAGGGGCAGGGGAAGGGGGAGGGGGAGGGGGAGGGGGAGGGGGCGTGGGCGGAAATCTATTTGGGATGAGGGGGAGGATGAAGGGGACGAAGGGGGGGAGTGGCGGATGGGGAAGAGAACTAGGAGTGAGATGGAGGGAGGGGAGGAGTATGAGGAGGAGGAGGGAGGAGAGGAGGAGAGGGAGGAGGAGGGGCAGATTCTGCGGCATAAGTTCAGTGTGGGGTCCTTCGTTGAGGTAATGCCAGCTATTGGGAGGTGGTGCTGAGGCGAGGAGGGTAATTGGTTTAGTTTAGTTAAGCATAGTTTAGGGGCTCCGGGCTGCAGATAGTGACTCTCGAGATTTCTATGCTTCTCATTGCAGCACAGTACCCCTAAGCAAGACGTGTCTGTGCTTGTATTGCAGGTTGCTTCTAACGAGGAGGGTCTAAGGGGCAGCTGGTTCACAGGCACGGTGCTGCAGATAGTGGGAGGCAGGGCGCTGGTGCGCTATGACGAGCTGTTGGACGACGATGGTGAGTGTGTTGGGTGTGGTGGTGAGTGCTTCGGGTGTGGTGGTGATGATGCTGGTGGTGATTGTTCATAGCACCTTACTTGCCGCATAGCACTGGGCGTCGGTGCGATAGGGCGAGCTCTTACTCCATGCTGCTGGTTCCTCCCCCTATGGGCAGCATGAGGTGATTTTTGAGTCGACGCAAAAGGCACCTCCTGGTCACCCTATGGGCGACATGCCTCACTTCGGCTCCCCCTTTTGAGACGACTCACAACCCTTCTGCACATGCCCTTTCCATATCCGCTTTTGAGTCGACCCAAAAGCCTGCTTTTGAGTCGACTCAAAAGCTTTCCATATCCCTCTTCTCCTCTTCCCTCCAGGCACGCATCAGCTGGAGGAGTGGGTGTTCGTCTCCCCGCCCTCGCTCCCTAAGGCCAACACCTCTTGCCTTGAGACATCTGTTCCTTCTTCCTTCTTTTTCCACTTTCTCCTCCCCCACTGTCTTCCCCCCAGGCACGCATCAGTTGGAGGAGTGGGTGTTGGTCTCCCCGCCCTCGCCCCCTATGGGCGACGCCTCTCGCTTTGTCTCAGGGGTCCCTTCCACCCGTCAGAGGAGGGACGAGGAGCCCGAGAGGCGGATTCGGCCCGGGAGGGAGAGGGGGAGGAGACGGAGGGTTGCGATGGGGCGAGTGTGGGCCGTGGGAGATAGGGTGGATGCGTGGGTGGATGACGGGTGAGTGCTCCTAGATAGGTGAGTGCTCCTAGATAGGTGAGTGCTCCTAGATAGGTGATTGGTGAGTGCTCCTCGATAGGTGAGTGCTCCTAGATAGGTGATTGGTGAGTGCTCCTAGATAGGTGAGTGCTCCTAGATGTGGGAGCCTAATAGAGAAGCTTGAAGGGAGCCTGCGAGGAGCCTGAGAGGCGGATTAGGCCCGGGAGAGAGAGGGGGAGAAGGTGCAAGGTGGCGATGGGGAGAGTGTGGGCCATTGGAGATAGGGTGGATGACGGGTGAGTGGAAGAGACTGCTTAGGTGGGTTGTTTTAGGATTCTCAAAGGTCAACTACGACACAAAGGTCTTTTGTGAGTCGTCCCAACCAAGATGTGGCTTGCTTCCTGTCATATGGCTTGGTTGCTTAAGTGGGTGATTGTAAGTCGTCCCTCCTCTTCCCCCTCCTCTCCCCCTTCCTCTCCCCGCTCCTCCCTACCTCCTCTCCCCCCTCCTCTCCCCGCTTCCCCCGCTCCCCCCCCCCTCTCCCCCTTCCTCTCCTCCCTTCTCTCCCCCTTCGACCTCCCTGCCGTCTAAGGTGGTGGGAGGGAGTGGTGACAGCAGTGGACACACAGGGGGCCAACCTCAGGGGCTTTACTGTGGAGTTTCCAGGTACTTTAGCCTATCACCCCTGCGCTTTCCAGGTACTGTAGCCTATGACCCTACACTTTCCAGGAACTGTCCCTTATCACCCTTGGGTTCCCACGTCTCCCTATCACCCTTGGGTTCCCACGACTCCCTATCACCCTACAGTTCCCAGGTATCTCGACCTGTCACAACACCTTCTTCACATACTTAGAGCACAGTATTGAATGCACGGAGGCTACATGCTGCTCAATCGGGCCAAGCAGCCTCTCCACCCCTCAAACCACCCCCTCTCCACCCCACTTCCCCCTCTCCACCCCACTTCCCCCTCTCCTCCCCACTTCCCCCTCTCCTCCCCACTTCCCCCTCTCCTCCCCACTTCCCCCTCTCCTCCCCACTTCCCCTCCTCCTCCCCACTTCCCCCTCTCCTCCCCACTTCCCCCTCTCCAATTCAGGTATGGCGAGAAGCAGGTGCAGCCGTGAAAGCTGCGGCCCTCGATGGTGTACGACACACAGGGGCATGCGTGGCAGCTTGTCAAAACCAAGGGCCAGTGTCTCTTTTAAACTGCCACCCCCTTGCCCCCCCTTACCATGCCCTTTCCCTTACCATTGTCCCTCTCAGGTTACGGCGAGATGGGGCAGAAGCAGGTGCGGCCGTGGGAACTCCGCCCCTCCATGGTGTACGACACCCAGGGGCACGTGTGGCAGCTGGTCAAAGTCAAGGGGGTGTCTCTTGCTGCTGTTGTGGGGGGAGTGGGTGGAGAGGAGGAGGAAGAGGAGGAGGAGGTGGAGTATTTGGGGGAGGATAATGATGCTCCAATCGAACTGGTGAGTCTGGTGGGCGGGATAGGTGGAATTAGGGGGGGAAAGGGGGTGGGTGCGAGGAGGGGGTTGGGAGAAGGGGGGGGGGTTGGGGGGGTGTGGGAGGGGGGTGGGATTTCGGGGGGTTGGAGGGGTGTGGGAGGGGGGTGGGATTTCTGGGGGGAGGGGGAAAGAGGGGGGTGGGGCGTAGCATTGCCCTTGTGCGGCACCCGTCTCCAAAACCTTTTATCGTCAAATCCCAATCTGTGAACCCCACATACGTTTACCTACGTTTGATTGCCGCCTAGGCCCCTCTGCCAGTTGTCCCTCTGAAGGCGCACGTGGCAGATGGAGAGGCCTCGGAAGAGGGGCCGGCCACGCTTCCACTGAGGGGGCATGATTCTTTGTTTGTCACCTGGACTGGATTTTTTGGACATTATCAACCGCGTGTAATGAGTGTGCTTTTGAGTCGACTCAAAAGTGGACTGGATATCTTGGTCATTCGTTTCAATAAGACGTGCCTCTCTCTTCATACTGTCTGAATGGCGCACGTGGCAGGTGGAGAGGCCACGGAAGAGGGGCCGGCCGCGCTTGTACTGAGGGGGGTGTGACGAAGGATAGGGGCGGCAGCTGATGACAGGTGAGTGTGTGTGAGAGAGAGAGAGAGAGAGAGAGAGGAGAGAGAGAGAAGAGAGAGAGAGAGAGAGAGAGAGAGAAGAGAGAGAGAGAAGAGAGAGAGAGAGAGAGAGAGAGAGAGAGAGAGATAGAGAGAGAGAGAGAGAGGAAGAGAGAAGAGAGAGAGAGAGAGAGAGAGAGAGAGGAGGAAGAGAGAGAGAGAAGAGAGAGAGAGAGAGAGAGAGGAGAGAGAGAGAGAGAGAGAGGAGAGAGAGAGAGAGAGAGAGAGAGAGAGAGAGAGAGAGAGAGAGAGAGAGAGAGAGAGAGAGAGAGAGAGAGAGAGAGAGAGAGAGAGAGAGAGAGAGAGAGAGAGAGGGGGTAAGAGGGGCAGAGGGGCAGGTTATTGCTAGGCACCATGAAGGCATTGCTTGCAATGGGGCAGATGGAGAGGCCTCGGAAGAGAGGTTGTCTCACGTGCCACTGAGGGGGGTGGCATTAAAAGGGTGGCACTGAGGGGGGTGGCACTAAAAAGGGTGTCACTGAGGGGGGTGCGACAGCTTGTGAGGAGGGCGGACACAGGTAAGAGATCAGGAAAGGAGAAGGGAAGTCCAGTCTTTGCAATTTGAGGTTTTTTTTTTTTAATGTATCATTGTCGCTTTTTATGGGCTCGCCATTGGCTGATCCGCTACAATTGGGAGGGTTTGTGTGGTAATCACTGGCATATGACTACGTTTGGCTTGCTTATACATGTTTTGCCTTCCTCCCACCTTTCCCATGTCAGAGTTGCCAATGTTGAAGATTGCGTGTGGCGATATGCGTCCAATTCGATTGAGTCACTCGAGAGGGGTCCCAAATGCTTGCTTCTCAACTTGGGTGTACTCTTGTAATTTCAACCATGTTGCCAGTAGTGGCCTCTGCTTTGTAGAAGACAGAAGGGCAGCACTGTCTTGCCCTTAGATGTATGATATGAACACCTAGAGATTTTCAATAGATCATTGTGAATGTTACTTGTGAGCCTCAACCCTACAAGATATGTGAGCAAATATAAGCGCATATTTATTGACTGTAGTCTCGACTTTTGTAATATGTTTCATCATTGAATCAGTGGCGCGTTCCACGGCAGTTGTTGCTCCGCAATCGGCGCTCATCCTTCACTAGCCGCGTGGCATTGGCCCTTTCTGAGCTGGCACGTCTCCCACGTTCGACGAAACGAGCAATTTCGAGGCGTAAATCGAGCGCCGAGCCGACTCGTCCAATTTCAAATATGCACCTCACGGGGAATTCCAGGTGCTTCGTATTTCATAATCCGATTTACAGATTGAGGTGCGTTGGCCCTCGCTCCATTGGTGCCCCACTTGGCCCTTCACCAGCACGAGGTCTTGGCAGCAGCTGAACAGGAAAACGTGGCAGGCATCCGATGCACTTCTAGGAAGTCTGGGTAAAGAAAACGCATGGATACCTCGAACGCATATGCAGCTGTCTTCCTGCGTGTTCGGGAGACCATCAGGCATCCATCTCCTTACACGTGCTAGAAACTTCACTGCATATCTCCATTCGTGCGGCACGACGCGATGGTTCCCTCGACTCGAACCTCTACCCTAGAAGCAACGACGGGACGACACATAGCTTCTCGGCACATGAACCATCTCTTCACAAGCGCCCCACGTAACAGGTGGATGGTTCTCAATTGTTGCATGGACCACATGCCACCATGAGCCACCGCGCCATGCCATTCCGGTCCATATCCCCATTGTAATCCTTTGGAATGCAACTTACGCGTCGGAAGAAACTCCTCGCGAGCCGGGATGTATCTCGGCACGAAACGGTTCGCCTTTCTGCTGGGCCGAGGCGGTTCACCCTATCCGCTTTCGAGCTCCAATGCGGCTCGCGGGACGAGAGCGACTTCTGATGTGCCTCGGCTGATTCGAGAGAACGCGCCCCGTTCAAACCAGGTGCGCAGTGTGCTTTCTTTCGGCAAGCCCCCGGGCGGTATATATCTCGAGCGTGCTTCCGTCTCGTCTTTGTGTGCTGGCTCGTGTGTCCTCTGCGTGCTCGCCTTCTCTGCTCTCTCCCTTGGCTCTCTTGCGTAGCTTGCTTTTCGTTCTCGTTTGAAGCAGCCCCGTTGCAGCAAGCCATCATGAGTCGTGCGTTTGTGTTCGCCTTGCTCGCGTTTTGCTTGGTGGGCTTCGCGTCAGCCCGTGCCCCTGTGAACGACGAGAAGGAGTTCATCCCCGGTCAGCCTCAGGAGGCGTTCAAGAGCAGCGGCGGACGCGTGGAAGTGTGGAGCTCCGACTTCAAGCAGTTTCAGGTACTGTGTGCTTCTCGCAGCAACAGCAGCGGCAGCGGCAGATGCGAAGCAGAAGACTCGTGAGAACCCACCTCAAGCGTTCTCCTCTAGCAGTTGTGTTCACTTCCTGTGGTTTCCCTTTCAGAACGACCGGCTCAGGTAACACCGTGATCCGAGTCTCATTACTTCCGTTGTCCCTATACCCTTCTCGTCCTTCCCGTGCCAGGATGCGGACATCGGTGCGGGCATCGTCACCATCGAGAGCCAGTCTCTGGCGCTTCCCCACTACGCCGACTCCGCTATGGTATTCCTCGTTACTGACCTATTCGTTTGTACAAACGCACTTGTATCTCTTGGCGCTTTGACTCGGCGTGCGAACCTCCGTCCTTGCTCTCGCATCTCCCCACACCTAGTACTCTTGTGCTATCCTCTCGTTCTTTCCCAGATCAACTACGTGATCGAGGGCGAGGCGTGCGTGTGTAATGAGTCGATTTTTGAGTCTAACTCAAATCGACTCTTGTGCTATCCTGTCGTTCTTTCCCAGATCAACTACGTGATTGAGGGCGAGGCGTGCGTGGGGCTCATCACCCCGCTCGGTATGCCCACCAACCTGCGCCGCCTGCGCAAGGGCGACGCGTACATCCACCCGCGCGGTTGGGCGCACTGGGCGTGGAACAGCGGTAACCAGCCCTTCCGCGTGGTCAGCATGGCGGACACGTCCAAGGGCCCCCAGCGGGGGCAGTACACGTCGTTCCACCTCATCGGTGCGCAGAAGGAGCAGAGCGGCGGGATTCTCCACGGCTTCAGCTCGGACTTGCTCGCACGTGCATGGAACGTGGAGGAGGGGGATGTCAAGCAGCTGCTGCAGGGGCAGAAGGAGACGGCGTTCGTCAAGGTCCAGCAGCGCAGCCAGATCGACGCGCTCAACGCCGCGATCGGCGCGCTGAACGCGCGCTCCGGTGCGGAGAACATCTTCGGGGATTTTTCGTACAACTTGATCGAGAACGAGGCGGACATTCAGTGCGAGGGCGCGGGCCGCGTGACCTGGGCGAGTGGTTGGAAGCTGCCCATGTTCCGCAAGGTCGGTTTTTCGGCTGCCCGTTTCGAGCTGGAGAAGAACGCGCTTGCGGCGCCGCATTGGCTGGCGAACAGCGCCGCGCTGATCTACGTGCTGAACGGGCAGGGGAGGTTTGAGATGACGCACTCCGACGGGCGCCAGGCCGTGAGGCGTGACGTGAAGCAGGGCGAGCTGATCGTGGTTCCTCCCGGTCTTCCGCACGCGACTGTAAGCCCCTCTCTCTGGTAGTGTTCTTTCTCCTTGGGGGGGGGAGAGCTGAGGGCTTTTTCTTTCTAGTCTTCCAAACGCCTCTTCTCTTTTCTGATTCTCCCGTTTCCCATTACCGCCTGACCCTATTATTTCACCCTCTCCCCACCCCTCAAACCCCCCCCCCCCCCCCCCCCCCCCCACCCCCCATCCCCGACCTCTGCTCATTGCAGCTGGCCTCCGGCAATGGCATCGAGTACATCGCGCTCATCACCAAGTCGCGCCCGCAGGCGGGCTTCCTCGCGGGAGCCAACTCCGTGTACCGCTTCCTGCCGCGCGCGATTCAGCAGGCCGCTTTTAACGCGGATGAGAAGCTGATCGAGAAGCTGCGCAGCACCCGCCAGCACGAGTACGTCATCCTGCCGCCCAAGGGCGCGCAGCCCAAGCCGAGGGTGTTTACCGAGGAGGACGCGGAGGATGTGGATGTTGATTTCAGCATCATCGACACTCCCTACGGGTTCTAAGCACCTGGAGGGGAAATGCACCCGAGGGTGAGGCAGACAGCCATAGCAAAGGAGGAGGATGGCTGTTGGGGTGTGGCTGTCGGGTGGCAGGGGAATTTGTGCTACTGGGTACTCGTGACTTCTGTCTCCGATAGTGGGCTGGTTTCTTGGGTGGGTTGGTGCTGGTGATCTTTGTACAGCTTGCTATAATGCAAGAAATTTTGTGGAATCCAATGTTGCACATCGGGGATGAATTTGGCCGTTTCTATTAGCAATTACTAGATGCCTTGGTATTTTCCCAATAGCTGATTGACACCGGTTGAAAATTTCTCACTAAAACGGAGAGCAGAATTCGGAGTTCCTCATAATTCGGTTGTGATGCTTTGGTATTCATACATCATCAGTGTCTGGATTGCGAATTACTCCATATCCAGGTGGTTATGGCGGATTTGAGAGTCAAAAGACGCGCAGAATTTTTGGCACCTAATTGTCTATTACCTTCGAGCCGATGTGAACGACATTGAAGGTCGTTAGCTTTTGTTCACAAGTAGCGCGTTTCGCGCCGCATAATATGTTGTTGCTATTCGGTATTTTCAAACCCATTATGGCGCCTTGTGTCACGACACGTCAGCTCCCGCGCCACATGTTCAGTCACCAGCAGTCAGAGCAAGTCGCTGCATGCTCCTGGTCTCCGCACCGGACGCGTGGCATGTAACCTACATGGGACGGCCCGACCCATCCGTCATGGCCGCCTCGTATGCAGGCATGATGAGCCCCAAGCGGTTTGGTTTTCAAGTGCATGGCATGCGCTTGCGATTCGCAATGGAAGTGGATTTCTCGATTTCTCCGATTCCGGAATCTCGCGTCGCCATTCCAGGGGGGGATGATGCTGCAAGCGGCTGCTTCTGCTGTTGCTGCTGGTTCCCATCGCGCCCTCCTCCACCCTCCTCTATCTCCTCCCGTTTTCCCCTATCTTCTCAAAATCCACTTTCATGTCTGAATCTGCTCTCTACTCTATTCCCTCGCCAGTGCTTATTCGTCGCCGGTGCTCTGTCTCGTCTCCTGCTTCTGTCGGTCGTTCGCTTCTCGTGCCTTCATTGAGATCTCTCAGCGCCTTCTGCTCCTCACACTCGTGCCGTGGTCACTAAGTGCTGCTTAGTAACAGCCAATCGGTTACCTCTCTCCTCATTCCTTGGGCTTCTGCTAAGCGGCCAAGTAGCCAAGCAGCCATGGCGCTCCCTCGTCTCACCCCTTTCAAGCTCCAACCGCCGCTGCTTCTCCCAACCTCAATCCTCCTCTTCCTCATCCTCCTCTCCTCGCTACCCTCCCCATCGCCTATGCTTACCGTCCATGCCATGACACCTGCTGCCGAGCCTGAATCCCAGGCTCGGCATGCTGCCGAACCTGAGGCTACCACACCTGCTTCCGAACCCCAGCTCCTGGCTTGGCTATCTGTTGGCGCCGCAGCTCAGCTCCACCAAGGCTGGCGCTGGCTCGGTGTCGGACCTCTCATGTCAAGCCTGGGGACGAGGCTCGGAAAGGGCCTGGGGAATAAAGCTGGGGAGGATGGAGAGGAAGAGGATAAAGCAAAGGAGTTTCTGGCTGGGAAGCCTCAGGTGGAGGTGGAGTCCAGTGGAGGGCGGATTGAAGCATGGGGCGCAGGGCTGAAACGACTCGAGGTCAGTAAGCTTCTCCCCTGAAAAGGCCTTTTACGTTTTTTTGTTCCTCGTTGCATCATGCCACCATATCACGTTCCTGTTGCCACGACGCTTACCCATTCTAAACGAGCATTCTTCCCACCTTCGGTTTTCATCTTATATGTTTTTTCCCATTTCCAGGACGCCGATACTACACAAGCATTCTTTCCACCTTCAGTTTCCATATAATAATATCCATATATATATATATATATGTATATATATTTATACATATATTTTCCATCTCCAGGATGCGGATATCAGTGCTGCTGTGATGACGATTGAGCCGGAATCCATGTCTCTACCCATGTACTCCAACGATGAGGAGGTAAATGCGACTTTCTTTCCTCTAGCAAGCCTTGGGATTGTCATGCGCACCATATAATGTGATGACGATTGAGCTGGAATCCATGTCTCTACCCATGTGCTCCAACGATGAGGAGGTAATCGCAACGTATTCTTCTGTCTTGCAAGCCTTGGGATTGTCGTGCCCACCCACCCATACGCTCTGATGACAATAGAGCCAGGACCCACATCTTTCCCCATGTGCTCCAATGATGAGAAGGTAATCCCAATGTATTCTTCTGTCTTGCGAGCCTTGGGATTGTCATGACCACCCATACGCTGTGCTGATGATAGAGCCGGATTCCAGGTCTCTACCCATGCTCTATCATCACCCATGTTCATGCTCTATCATCACCCATGTTCTCCAACGATGGGGAGGTAACTTCAATGCATCTGTGTCATGCAACCCTTGGGATTGTCATGCTAAAAATTACACTTGTATCACGCCAAGAAAGCGTGAAGTGTCCTGTTTTGTCTCTTTCTTGTCTCACAATCAGAAGGTGTTTGACTACATGAGCAGGTGTCCTATGTGGTTGAGGGGGAGGCACGTGCGGGCCTCATCAGCCCGGAGGGGATTCGCACCAACGTCAGGTATGGGAGGGAGTGGTTGGCATGGTGTTGGCGCTGCCGTCAGGTGTGTGCTCAGGTGGGTGCTCAGGTGAGATAGTTCTGCTGTGGGCTGGAAATGAGCTTTCTAAGCGAGTTGCTGAGGTCAGTTGGGAGGCACGGGCAGAAGTCGTCGTCAGTCCGGAAGGTATTCTCACTCACCAATGTCAGCCTGTCAGTTATGGGAGGGAGCGGTTGTTTGTACATGTCATGTTGCAATGGACGTTTGCTTGTTGGCTTGTTGACTTTTGAGGCGCCTCAAAAATGACGCGTCATGCGTGGACTTGTTGTCTTGTTGTACCCTTTACAGGAGGCTTCGCAAAGGAGACGCGTTTGCCTTCCCGCGAGGTTGGGGCAGGTGGATATGGAATGACGGCAAGGAGCCACTGCGAATCATCTCCATCGCTGGTATGTGTTCCGAGACACCCCTACCCCGGCTCCGACTGTTCAGTCCCCTGTCTCAAAAGGCACCCGTGTCTGCCTTCCTGCGAGGGTGGGGCAGGTGGATATGGAATGACGGCAAGGAGACCCTGCGAATCATCTCCATCGCTGGTATGTGTTCCGAGACACCTGTATTCTGACTTGGACTGTTGAGCTGAAACACCCCTCCCCCAGTTCTGACTGCTGAGTCCCCTGTCTCAAAAGGCGCCCCTGTCTGCCTTCCCACGAGGGTGGGGCATGTGGATATGGAACGACCGAGGGTGGGGCAGGTGGATATGGAACGACCGAGGGTGGGGCAGGTGGATATGGAATGACCGAGGGTGGGGCAGGTGGAGATGGAACGACCGAGGGTGGGGCAGGTGGATATGGAATGACGGCAAGGAACCCCTGTGAATCATCTCCATCGCTGGTCTGTGCTCCGAGACATACTTCCACATTACTTCTCAGTTGCACCCATTGCTCTAGCCCGTTGCCTCAGTTGCTGCAACTTGCAAGCCATGGCTCTAGCTCGGTGCTCTAATCGTTGTCACACATTCCTGTTACCCCCCGTCCCTACAGTTTCTTGTGCATTCGTGTAGCATGCCAGATGTATCTTAGATGCTGCACCGCATGACGTGTGCATGCAACGGTTCACATCTCGCTGCTTAGCATGCCAGATGCATCTTAGATGTTGCGCCGCATGACGTGTGCATGCAACGGTTCACATCTCGCCGCTTAGCATGTACACTGCGCTCAACTAGCTCGGATGCATATCTTTCTTTCCATGCCTCCCCATGCCAGATACGTCCAAGGAGGCCCACCGTGGGCGCTACACTGCCTTCAGCCTCGTGGGAGCGCAGAAGGGCAAGTTTGGCGGCATTCTCCATGGCTTCAGGTGGGCTCAGATAGATTTCAGGAGAATTCCAGGTTGGCTCAGGTGAATTGTAGATGCAGCCACTATCAATCACTTCCATGTGTTACCATCCCGCTTTGAGTCGACTCAAAAACCGCGTGTAATGAGTCTGCTTTTGAGTCGACTCAAAAACCACGTGTAATGAGTCTGCTTTTGAGTTGACTCAAAAACCGCGTGTAATGAGTCTGCTTTTGAGTCGACTCAAAAACCGCGTGTAATGAGTCTGCTTTTGAGTCGACTCAAAAACCGCGTGTAATGAGTCTGCTTTTCAGTCGACTCAAAAACCGCGTGTAATGTGTCTGCTTTTGAGTCGACTAAAAACCATCCCTTTCCTCAGTCTCCTTGCTCCCATTCCCTCCTCTAACCCTCCACCCACCTCTATTCCTCCTATTTCATCACCAAGTTCGTTTTTAGTCTAACTTAAAAGTCAGACTCCTTGCCCCCATCCCCTCCTCTAACCCTCCACCCACCTCTATTCCTCCTCTCCTCCAACCACCGGGTGCTTTTTGAGTCGACTTAAGAGTCAAAATCCGATCAATCCTTGCTCCAATCCCCTCCTCTATTCCTCCCAATCCAGCCACCGGGTGCTGGCACGTGTGTGGAGCGTGGAGGAGGGGGATGTGGCACGGCTGCTGCGGGGGCAGAAGGATGATACTACTGTCAAACACTTCCTCCGTTCCCATACCTTTCCTCAATCCCCTTCCCCGGATCCCCTCCATGTTTGAACCAGCCACCGAGTGTTGGCACGGGCGTGGGGCGTGAAGGAGGGGGATGTGCAGGCGCTGCTGCAGGGGCAGAAGGAGGCAGCCATTTTGATATACTGATATACTCCCTCCGTTCTTTTGAGGCGCCTGAAAAGCACTCTCAGTTTTGAGGCGCCTCAAAGGCAGAGGGATGCAGCCATTGTGATATGCTGATATACTCCCTCCGTTCCCAACCCTTTCCTCAACCTCCCTGCCCATATCCCTTCCTCTCTGGTGAACCAGCCACCGAGTGTTGGCACGGGCGTGGGGCGTGGAGGAGGGGGATGTGCAGACGCTGCTGCAGGGGCAGAAGGATGCAGCCATTGTGAAGGTGGATCCGGGGAAGGTCGCATCTGGTGATTTGGATGCCATGGATGCTCCTGCTGCTGCTTCTGCTGCTGCTGCCGCTGCCGCTGCTCACACCGATGCTGCTGCTGCTGCTGCTGGTGCTGCTGCTGATTCAGAGGGTACTGTGGCGTTTGGTGACTTCGTCTACAATCTTATAGATGAGCAGCCTAGCATCGACACGGCAAGGGGAGGCACTCTCACTTCTGCAAACGGCTTCAAGCTGCCTGTGTTCCGCCACCTGGGCGTGGCTGCTGCCCGCATTGATCTCATGGTAAGTAGGCCTGAGAGAAGGAAAGGGGAGGGGAAGGGGGGAATTCTGGTGATCTTGCAGTGACCACTTCTTTCTCTCTTTGCTAGATTTTCCACGCGAACCCCTTCACTTGCTTTTTCTCTCACTCGTGCTTCTGTTCCCGCCCTCCCACAGCCCAATGCTGTGGCAGCTCCTCATTGGCTGTCCAACTCGGCCACTGTTCACTTCATGACACGTGGCAGCGGGCGCTTTGAGATAACCTATCCAGACGGGAGGAAGGCGCTGCGTCGGCGCGTGAATGCGGGAGATGTGATCGTGGTGCCGGCTGATTTCCCCCATGCTGTGGTGAGTGATCTACGGTTATGAACAGCCTATCCAGATGGCAGCAAGTCGCTGCATTGGTGCGGCTTTGCCTATCCAGGGAAGGGGACGTCATTGTTGTGCCGGCTGATTTCCCCCATGCTGTGGTTAGTGCCAATTGGTTGCAAGATATTGCCTATCCGGATGGCAGGAAGATGCTGCATCGGCGTGTGAAGGCAGGCGATGTGATCGTTGTGCTGGTTGATTTCCACCTGGAGGTATATCTGGGGAAGGTTTGGAGTCGGCTCAAAAATTATATGGTGTGAAGTATGTTGCTCCGTCACCCAAATGCAAGCCCGGATTTAAGCATTGCCAAATCTCTCCCCACCGTCTCCTGCTTCCTCTCCCTCTTCTCTCTCTTCCCATCCTTGTCCTCCCTTTTGGCAGGTGGCATCTGGGGAGGGTTTGGAGTATGTTGCTCTGTCACCCAAGTCCAAGCCCAAGCCCGGCTTTTTAGCTGGATCCAACTCAGTGTACAGTGCGCTGCCTACCGCTGTACTGAGGGCTGCTTTTAACGTGGATGGAGCTCTGGTGGCGAAACTGCAGGGCTCTAGGGAGGACGAGTATGTGATTCTGTCCCCGACTAAGGGTGGTTAGGGAGTGGGTGGGTAGGGCAGTGAGGAAATGGCTGGGTGGGCAGGGCAGGGGGCTGTTGAGTTGGCTTAAAAGCAAACTGCAAGGTTTCAGGGAGGGAGAGAGTGATTCTGTCCCCTGCTAAGGGAAGTGAGGAAATGGCTGGGTAGAGGGGCGTGGGTGGGTGGGTGGGAAGATTGTGGGGAGAAGGTATGGGGAAAAGACTCTGGCTTTGAGACGTTGCAGAACTAATCTCTGGTGGAGAAATTCAGGCATCTAGGAAGGAGGATGAGAGAGGTTCTGTCCCCTGCTAAGGGATGTCACATCAGATCAGAGAGGAGTGAAGCAGTGGCTGGGTAGGGAAATTGGCTATTTCAGTTGCATTGTGGTATGCCGGTGTAACAGTTGATATTATCCATACTGGTTATGGATAATAGAACATGTTTCTCAATAACACAGTTTTTACAATCAGAGACACTACCAGGATCGCCCACTAAAGCGAAAACATGGTATAGCAACCTTCGCCTCCCACTTCATGCACCTTTCGAACCTCCTGCGCCATTTTCTGATCTCCACTCCAGACCAGACACCAGCTGCTACTCTCAAGGCAACATCAGCATGCCTTATTTCCTCCAATCATTACCCTAGGAAAACCTAATAATTAAACATATTATCCTAAAACTTATTCCGACTTCGAACCTTTGTCTGCACTTGAGCCAGCACCTGCTGCTCTTGAGGCAACGTCCCATTCGAAGATGCGAGGGACGACAGTAGGCAGCAGGAAGCAGAAGACGTTGTAGGCCCACAGCAGGTAGTTCACAGCTGGGGGGGGGTGGAAGAAGGAGTTATGGGAGGGTTATTGGGAAGCGGAAGGGGATGCGTGCAGGACGACAGTGGGCAGCAGGAAGCAGAAGACGTTGTAGGCCCACAGCATGTAGTTTCACAGCTGGGAGGGTTGGATGAGAGAGTCATGGAGGGGGTTATTGGGAAGCGGAAGGGGATGCGTGCAGGAAGACAGTGGGCAGCAGGAAGAAGACGACACTGTAGGCCCATGGCAAGTAGCTCACAGCTGGGGGGGGTTGGAAGAGGGACGCATTGGGGGGATTAAGGGGAAGGGGGAAGGTGGGGGGAGGGAGCAGGAGGACAGTGGGCGGCAGGAAGCAGAAGACATTGTAGGCCCACAGCAGGTAGTTTACTACAGAGAGGGGTTGGAAGGGGGAGGCATGGGGGGGTTTGTGAGATTTAAAGGACGACAGCGGGCAGCAGAAGCAGAAGAAATTGTAAGCCCATAGCAGGTAGTTGGCCACTGAGAGCTGTTGGAAAGAGGGAGGCATGGCGGGGGGTTGTGGAGTTTAAAGGACGACAGTGGGCAGCAGAAAGCAGAAGACGTTACAAGCCCATAGCAGGTGCTTGAACCCACGAGGGGGAGGAAGGCGAAGGCAGAGTGAACAAGTTTTGTGTGGAGAGAGAGCAATGCTTGCGCGAAACCGCTGTACCAAAGCATACGGAAAACCACTGTACCAATGCATATGAAAAATCACTGCACCAATGCATATGAAAAATCACTGCACCAATGCATATGAAAAATCACTGCACCAATGCATACGGAAAATCACTGTACCAATGCATATGAAAAATCACTGCACCAATGCATATGAAAAATCACTGCACCAATGCATATGAAAAATCACTGCACCAATGCATATGAAAAATCACTGCACCAATGCATATGAAAAATCACTGCACCAATGCATATGAAAAATCACTGCACCAATGCATATGAAGAATTACTGCACCAATGCATTTGAAAAATCACTGCACCAATGCATATGAAAAATCACTGCACCAATGCATACGGAAAATCACTGTACCAATGCATATGAAAAATCACTGCACCAATGCATATGAAAAATCACTGCACCAATGCATATGAAAAATCACTGCACCAATGCATATGAAAAATCACTGCACCAATGCATATGAAAAATCACTGCACCAATGCATATGAAGAATCACTGCACCAATGCATTTGAAAAATCACTGCACCAATGCATATGAAAAATCACTGCACCAATGCATACGGGAAACCACTGTACCTGCGGCTGCAAACAGCATGCCCAGCCACAGCAGCCGTGTTGAACTCTGACTGCCTTCCATTGCGGTGCTTGAACCCACGAGGGGGAGGAAGACGAAGGCCGAGTGGACGAGCCACTTGTAAAGCGAGAACATGCGGCGGCCGTTGTAGAGAGGGGGGATAAGAGCTCTGCAGGGGGTGGAGTGCGGGGAGAACGGGGTTTGGGAGGCGAATGAGCCGCTTGTGTGAGAAAATGGCCACCAGGAGTGGGGGGAGATAGAGGGGGGAAAGTGACTGGGGGGGAGGAGAGTGGGGGGAAGATGGGTGGGGGGAGGAGAGTGGGGGGAAGATGAGTGGGGGGAAGATGAGTGGGGGGAAGATGAGTGGGGGGAAGATGAGTGGGGGGAAGATGAGTGGGGGGAAGATGAGTGGGGGGAAGATGAGTGGGGGGAAGATGAGTGGGGGGAGGTGAGTGGGGAAGACGGCATGAAACGAGGGTGATTGAAGCTTACTTGACTGGCAACGACTGCTTTGTCTTCATGAAGACATTTTCTGAGATGATCGGAAGAAAACGAGAGAAGGAGAAACCGGAAAAACAGAACAGGGCACAAGAAACAGGAGGCTACTGTACTGACACTCACTTGACTGGCAGCGATTGCTTCGTCTTCATGGAGATTTTCTCTGATATGATCTGGCGCTCGTAACAAAAGGAAGAAGAAGAAGGAAAAAAAAAAAAGGAGGGAAAAGAAGGAACGTGCGCCACAAAGGGGCACGGAATGCATGTGAGTGGTGGAAAGGGGGAGAAGCGGAGAAGACAGACGAACAAAACCCGCATTTCATTCACGCAACTCGCAGTCACACCTGGATGACAAGTAGCAGGGCGTCAGGCAGCACGAGGGAGAGGCCCCATGTGTACTCGGGAACGGCGTGGCGAAGGAAGAACCCCGATGCTATGATGGCTGCTGGCCACAGCACACCGACGACCCCTGCGAGCTGGATGTACCTGGAAATGGAGGTACGGGATGCGATGCGAGACGTTGTAACGTATCGGATGGGCTGGTCGTAATCATTTCACGATGCTGAGTTTCTCCTTTCGTTGCTTTCTTTCGTTCTTTCTTTCTTTTTTTTACCTCGGCGAGAAAAGGCTTCTCACCTCTTAAGTTGCGGGGTCATTTCGCCAAGCATGAGCGGCTTGTGCGGCGGGCACGGGAAGACGAACGAGAGCGCGTACGCGTAGACACTAGCTCAGATCGCGGGAAGGGACATGGTAGTCAGGACTGAGCTTCACCTTTTCATTCGCGAGTTCACACTTGCCTGGCACGAGCGGCTTGTGCGGAGGGCATGGAAACACGAACGAGGGAGCGCAGACATATATTCGATACTAGCTCATGGGGCAGGATGGGATACTCGATAGTATCAGTCACCTCTTCATTCGTGAGTTTATCTCGCCGAGCATCAGCGGCTTGTGCGGCGGGCACGGGAACACGAACGAGATCGCGTACGCGTAGAACGACGCGAAGAGCGCGAATCCCGCGACGTCGAAAAGCGACTCGGCGAGCTGCTGAGCTGGCAGCGAGAGGACGGCGGGGGTGAACAGCGATGGGACGAGCGCCTGAAGCGGGTGGAAATGCGGCGGGAGCGGAAGCATGTCGGCGCCCGCCATGGCGAAGAAATGGTGCGATCCTGGGAGAAGAGGCTTCTAGGCCGAGGCTTCTAGTCGACTCAATGGCCTATTGAGAAGAGGCTTCCAGGCCTGCGAAACAATGAGATTATGGCACGATGTATGTGTGGTGAGCGACTGCTGTACAGGAGAAAGTCTGTCGGACGTTGGCGAAAATTGCGCCTCATACTGTATTCCTGAATCCTGAATATGGAATCCACAATTGCTTGACCAACAATCGAATCCAACCTCGGATTCACCACTTGACCAACACTCGATCCTGCGGTGTGGAGCGGTTACAAAAAGTTTTTCAGGGTATAGTTACGGTGCAGCAATGTTCTACGAGGTGGAATATGCATTTTAATAACGGCATCGCTACCTCTGCAAGAGAAAGACACCCTTCTTGCATTCATATCGGATTAAATTTATAATATGCAGTACACAGGCATGCACCTCGTATTGAGAAAACTGTTACAGTTTCTGTAGCCACAGGTTTCAAACCAGCAACCGTCCGCGTCCCGTTGGGATTGCCGGCCTTGTTGACCAAAACACTCATGCTCCAAAATCTCGGTCTGTCACTCCCAGTCCAAATCCCAAACCACAAGCTCATTTAGTGCGGTTGACAGAGTTTCTTCGCATTTCAAAAGGTTCCTTTGAGATTCCAGACGGTTGAGTGAGGTGCTTCGAATGTTTACCCTCGTGGCACGGCCCTCCCCAGTTCAGCCTTGGGAATGCGTACCTGCCTACGCTTCCGATCTTCTGAATTACTAGCAGCACACACAAGGTTGCACCTGAGGCCCAGGCTTGAGATAATGCCGTGTCTGACGCTACCGCGAAACACGGTCTGAGCTGCTAAGTATCGAATCTCGTCTTTGGGAATGACGTACTTGAGCTACCATTAGCTGAGCTCACACAACGCAGCATGGCGACTGTTGGGCTGAGAAAAAGCCCTTAGGATCTTTTGCAGAGACTAAGTCCCAGCTTGTAGAGACTTGAGACTTGGAGTAGTGCAGCGGAAGTTGAGGCAGTTGAACCCTTGTACTAGTATGTGAGAACAAGTGATTGATTAAGGAAACAAGCATACAGCAATATATAGAAGATAAGAAAGCAGTTGTAGAGTACAGTTACAGGAACGGTTTATCGAGTCGTACAGCGACTCGATTGCTACTTCGGTTACCATCCATGATGCTGTAACGGTCAGTCGCAACCTCCAGTTGCGACCTTTCGCATTCTTTGTCCGCCCCCTCGTGTAACCTCCGTTGACTCGCGTGCTCCCTTGTAGTCTTCCTCGAGTGTAGTGTTACACTTCAGAAACGCTTAAGTTCTTTGAGATATTTCCAACACTCCCCTTCGTTTCTGGAGTGCTGTTATGTTCGGATCTGGTGACGTTTGTCTGTCCGGTCAGCAGCATGCAATGGTCGAATTTTGTCTTCGCCAATTTCTTCGTCAAATAGTCTGCGGCCATTTCTGTCGTCGGGCAGTAACTGAGTTGAAGTCTCCCCTTCGCGATTTCATCCTTGACGAAGAAGTACCGTAGGGCGATGTGCTTGGTTCGGTTGGCGAAGCCATCCTTGTTCGCGATTTTGATCGCGGATTGGTTGTCGCAGAGGAGTGAGAAGGCGGGTAGGGTAGCGATCTTCGCTTCCTCGAGTAACTCCCGTAGGTAGAGTCCTTCCTTGGTCGCAGTACAAAGGGCGATATACTCTGCTTCAGCCGAGGATAGTGCGATTAACTCCTGCTTGCTCGACTGCCAGGAGATAGTTCCGATGGGCTCTAGTCGGTAGATGTAGCCCGTCCTGGATCGTCGATTTTCCTTATCTCCCGCGTGGTCGGCGTCGACGTATCCGAGTAGTCGTACGGACGGTGTTGTTGCTTTGCTGTAGGTAAGCCCGATCGTCGGCGTGGAGACGAAGTAGAGTAGTGCCCGGTTGAGCTCCTCGAGATCTTCCTGTTCCGGTTGCTTCAGATGTGTCGCCAGTTGACTTGCACTGTAGGACAGGTCGGGTCGGCAGGTTACTGCTGCGAATAGTAGGCAGCCGAGCTTCTGTTGATACTCCTGGATTTGCTTCGCGGGGAGTTTTGCGGAGGCGCTGTTGTTATTTCCGTAGCGGTAGGGGGTCGGGATCGTAGTCGGCGTCAGTCCGAATTTCTTCGCGATAGTGCCTGCGTACTTTCCAGCGTGTAGGTAGAACGCCGAGTTGTCTTCGACAACATTCAGTCCTAGGTACTGGGTCACTTCGTCGGACACCGTGAGTGTTAAGTCTTCTTTCAGCTCCCCTTCGAACCAGGTAGCGATGTCGGTAGTGGAGCCGATGTAGAGCAGGTCGTCGACGTAGACGATGAGTAGGACATACTCTCTTCCCTTCTGCAGTCGGTACATCCCTTGGTCATGCGGCAGTTGTAGGAATCCGATTTTTGCGAGACGGCCGTGAAGGTGCTGCTGCCAGAGCCGTGGGGCTTGCTTGATCCCGTATAGGGATTTCGTCAGTCGGCATACTTTCGTGGGGTCGTCGATGAATCCGTGGGGTTGTTCGACGAAAATCTCAGCGTCCACAGGTGCGTATAGGAACGCATTGGCGACGTCGATTTGGCGTAGTGGTAGTGTCTTCGTGGCCGCGACGGCGAGTAGGATGCGTAATGAGGTGTGACGGGAGACTGGAGCGAAGGTTTCTGTGTAGTCGGTCCCGTATCGTTGGTCGAAGCCTCGTACGACCCATCGAGCTTTGAATCGTTCGATGGAGCCGTCTGAGTTGGTCTTGATGCGGTACACCCATTTCCCTGAGAGGACGTTTTTTCCGTTGATGCTTGTTGCAGGTACCAGTTTCCATGTTTTCCGGTCTTGCAGAGCCTTTAACTCATTTTCCATCGCTTCCTTCCATTTCGCCTTATGTTCCCCCCCCAGAGCCTGCGACAAGGTCGAAGGCTCTCGCGGAGAAGGCGGCGGCGGATGCTGGACGGAGACCCAGAGGCCTAGAATCTGCAGTCCCGTGGGTGTGTGTCGAGGGGAATTTTCATTCCCGGAATAAGCTGCTTCGTCACCGTCTTCTGGGTCAGGTAAGAAGTTGGGACCGATGCGTTCTGAAACATTTGTGTCGACTGGGTGGGGTGTAATGTAACCTTGGTCAGCGAAGTGGTAAAAGGTGTCGAGGTTGTTGCTATCGAGAGGATTGTCTTCGTCGAGTGGAACAGGTACGGAACAGAATGGGAGTGGTCCGGCAGCTTCCGAGGCTTCAGGTACGTCTTCTTCTGCTGCGTCAGCTTCGGCAGCACGGTCGGCGAAGGAACGAAGTCCCGAGAAGCCGTCGGTGGGGTCTTGTGTGTTGGCAATGTTGTCCAGGTAATGCTGCAGCGTCAGTCGCTCGTAGAAGATAACATCACGTGATGCCACGGTATTTTTGTCTTGTATGTCGAGAATTTTCCACGCGTGAAAATGTTTTGCGATGCCGAGGTGTAGTCCCCACCGAGCTCGTTGTGTGAAGCGTCCTGCTCGGGCTGTGTGGGGTCTGTACTGTACCATGCAGCCAAAAACTCTGAGTAATTTTGTGCTGCCCCTTTTTCTTGTCCACAACAGGTGCGGTGATGCGTTGTTGGGAAGTGATGACGAGGACAGCAGGTTGTGCAGGTGAACAGCATGTGTCATCGCGTCGGACCACAGTGTGGTTGGCAGTCTCATCCCCTGAAGCAGTTTTCGCATTGTCGTCTGCAAGGTCCGATTCATGCGTTCTGCGACCCCCTGCTGTTGGTGAGCATAGGGCAGGGACACCAGGCGTCTGATTCCTCTTTCCGCCAGATAGGTCCTGAAGCGTTGTGACTGGTATTCCAGTGCACCGTCTGACTGGAAGCTCTTGAGTTTGAGTCCTGATTCTCGTTCGGCGATGGGAAGCCATGTTGTGAAGGCTTCGAAGGCTTGATCGCGCGTCTTGAGATTGAAGTGCCAGACATATCTTGTTGCGGCGTCGATGAACGTGATGACGTAGTTGAAGTCGGCTTCGGTGTCGTCTCGAGGCATGTTTAAAATATCGCTGTAGACCTTTTCCATCGGAGCGTAAGTAGGTGCGCTTGGGTTGTGATGGGATGGGAAAGGTTGATGAGGAAGATCTGCTTCGGGGCATGTGAAGCACCGTGCGCGTGGTCGTCGAAGTTCTTGGCCGCTCGTCGTCAGAAGGGCGTTGCGTTCTAACACATCTGCTTGGATTGTTTGAAGTATCGTGCTGTTTGCAGGATGTCCGAGACGTTGGTGCCAGATGTCGTCGGGAGCGCGGTGACCAGGCGAGCGGTGGTAGATGTCGGCGTTGGAGAAGAACGCGACGACCGAGGCGGGACTTCGACAAGCTTCTCGTGTGGCGGGCATAAGTTGGTCTGCTTCGGTTGGTGGTCCTCGTGTCGCTGGTGGTGGTACTCGGCTGGGTCCTGCTGCCGATACTGCAGGTGATGGTTTTGTTAGGACACGTGCGGGTACTTGTCTTTCTTGTCTGATAACTGCTAATGCTCGTGTTCTCTCTGCTGTAGGTATGGTGTTGGAGTGCCAGAAGCCGTCACTGTCGAAGTCGGGATCAAGATCCGGCGGGTGAGTCCAGGCGGCGAATGATACGATACCGTCGCTGTCGGCAGTACCGCGGTCGGGGACGAAGTCCAACACGAAGACGCCGGACTTCAGGAGGGCACGACCGATGAAGAGGCCGCCCTTCCCGTGGTAAAGTCGAAACTCGTTGGAGTAGGAGTCGCACTCCAGGTGAATCCCCTTGGCCATTAGTTGGCTTACGCTTAGTAGGTTGTATCCCAGATTGTCGACAATGAGCACTTTGTTGAGCTGAAGTATGACGTTTGTCTCCATCGATTGTAACTGAACCACGCCTTGTCTGTTTGTCTTCAGGTTTTCGTTGTTGGCGACGGTGATGACGACGTCGCGGTTGAGGCGTTTCTCCTGTTGCACGAAGCGTCCCGAGGAGCACATGTGTTGACCGCAGCAGCTGTCCAAGAACGAGGTGTTTCGCCCGGTGGGTTCGGCGTTGGCGACCGCAGCATATGTTGGATTGACTTGAAGGCCTTGTGAGCGCGGTGGCGGCAGCTCTTCTTCGTCTGGCGCGTAGGTGGATGGTGATCCGGGTGCGCAGTTGTCGATGTGTACCATGCAATTGATGATGTTTGGTG